TGCTCTCGAATATTTTGTAAGTCGTGATCCTCCTTCTGCACTTTTCCTACAAGAGAATCGTCCTTCTTTAGATCCGCTGTTCTACGAGATCTTGAAATCGGTTGCTAGTATCTATAGCTTCTCTCTCTCTCTCTCTCTCTCTCTCTCTCTCCTCCCTCTCTCTCTCTCTCTCTCTTTCTCTTTCTCTCTCTCGCCGCCTCCTTCTGCCTCTGTCGGCAGCCTCGAGGACGCGGCTAGAGAGACGCAAATAGGCGGCGGGAGCCCTAATTCGTCCCGGCCGGTACCCTTCCACGCGCTCGCGCTCGCGTCCCGCGGCGCGATAAAGAGATACATTCACCTCTGCTCGCAGGTGTACAGAGACGTTCCGCCGCACCGTTTACTTATCGGCGGGCGAGATTGCCGGGGCAATTAAAGCCAGCGGTGCGTCGCCGCCCGCGAGACCTTCGCGATCCATTATCTTTATGGCATTGCCGCTTGATTATGCAGCTATCGTGGGCGCGAGCGTCGCTATCGGTTATCTGCGAGACGTCCCAGGTGCGCGGCGGGTGGGTTGGAGGGAGGGGAGGGTGCGGTGGCTGCGCGGTTCTCGAAACTGATGCAGAAAAGTGCAGGCGAGGGCGAGGAGCGCGGGACCCGTCTTCGTGTGCCCGTGGAATAAAAGCGGCGTTCGTTGCGGTACCGAGATATGTTTCGTAGGTGACTTTTTCGTCCCGCGTCCACGTCCCCTCTTTACACGTCTCTCGGTGAAATTGATAGATTCGCGCGGGGCGAACACCGGGGTTGAGTCCAGCCAGCTTGGTGCTCGGCGTGGATCCTACGAATCGCGGACCTGTTGATCGTACCGAGCGACGTTAGACGCCCGGGGCCCGCGCTTTAAATTGCGAATTAATTAAGAGACTCGCGGGATTGTCTTGAACCCAGGGGATCAGTTCTCTGTGTCCTGCAATATAGTGAAGATGCTAAAAGTGAGCGACTTTGCCTTTTCCTAAGGGAACGGTTAGAAAGAGACAGAGTCGTTCACTTTTAGCATTTTCGCTGTATTGTAAGATACACAATTGACCCCCAGAAAGACCTGCTCGCTTTGGACAGGACTAGAAACGTCGGAACTTGAACGGACAATAGCCTCCGTTCGTCCTCGCCCCGAAAACCCTTGGATGGATAAATGAAAAGCGGAAGGAAAAGAAGTGGAGTAACGCGAACGGCAGCAGCGAGCGACCGCCGGGCGAGGTGGAAAATCACGGGATTGGTTAAATAAGCTCTCTAACGATTCGCATGGAGGAAAAGGGATATAATTGTTGCGGCTCGACGTGACATAATGATCGGCAATAACGGCGGGCAGCGGCATCAGAAAAGGAACGAGGGGAAAGGGAGAAAGCTGCGAGAGAAACGAGATTGGAAACCGACAGCCGGGTCGTTGACATCGTTCCGTGATTTTCCTTGACGTTCGCACACACAGATGCATCTCGTATGCACGTGTGTGCACGCGTCGATTACGTGCCCACCCCCTGCAGCCGGTGGAGGGAGACGGGGCCGGAGGGACAGGGGGCAGTGGGGACGGGAGGGAGGGAAGAATCGAACCCCAGTCGCCACCAGTTGCGTCCGCGATTGCAACTTCACCCCCACGCAATTATCCCGTCCCAGTAGTCGAGGTGGTCTATAGATAGACCGTCCGACATTGCTCTGCCTCCCCCTTTCCGCGCCCTAGTCGTCTCCCCCCTCCCCCCCTCCCCCCGCCCCGCTTTTTTGTCCCTCTTTCACCCTGGTTCTCGGAGTGTTTCGCATATTTTTTCTGCCCTCGGAGTTTCTCTCTCTTTCTCTCTGTCTCTCGTTTTCCGACGCGCCGACTTTTCACGCCCGACGCGCGAATCGAGACTCTGCCTTGTCCATTGCTGCGTCGCGGGCGCGGTGCTTCTCGCGAAAATTTGGCAGAGGTGACTCGACCTTATCCGCGGCGAGCGGATAGTCCGAGGGCCGCGATGATTCCACTGGGTAGTATTACCTCGTGCAATTTCAACGCTTGGACCTCGGGGGGGGGGGGGTAGAAGGGATTCTGAGAATTCAAGCGAATATCGCTTTAGAAGAAGTTCACGCATTTCTATCTATGAAAACCTTACGGTTTCCGAGAATTTAGGGTTGTCTGAGAATGTGTTCCGAGGGTTTACGGTTTTGACAAGCTACCTTGGAAAACTTAGAGCAATCAGAGTAACAAAAAATTTACGAGAGTTTTGTGACGTACAAGACCCATGCCTTCGCTCTTATCGACCTTTTTTATCCTAATGTGCCTATTTCATGTGTCTATGTGTTTGTCTCTGCACAGCTGGTATTTAAAGTTCTCTTCACCTTACTTGAGAAACCAGGGAGAGAAGGACTGGACTTACTGGAATAACGAGAAATCTGATTTGCAGGTAGCAACGCAGGCGGTGCACCGTCAACGGTGACAGGATCGTCCGTCTCGAGAAGCACCACAGGTAATCGCGCCCACTCCGCGACCAGAAGGGCGGTTACTAATCAGCAGCGACAGCAGCAACAGCAGCAGCAGCAGCAACAAACCCCACAGCAACAGCAACAGCAACCACCGAAACAAACCAGATTTCCATTATCGTCCCTCAGTGGCGTAACTGTAAGAAGTTCTGATGAGCACGGGCCTAGAACTGGTACGACGCAAGACGACAATTCTAATGACTCCGGCCTCGGCTCCGAGGAACGTCAACAGCACTTCAACAACGTCAATGTTAGTATCTGCTGACGATGAACAAGAGCCTGCGAAACCGTACGAATTAATGAAACATTTTAAAACACATATTGTAGAATAACTATCTAAGTATTTATTTAGAAATTCTATTTATTGTACCTAGACTACAGATTGTAGAGATTTGCTTAGACTGTGTGTTATAGAGAGTAACTATCTAAATACTTATTTATAAATATTCAGTGTCTATTGATGAAAGTTCTAGATTCTGTATTATCGAATTCTATAACATGTAGAAGATTTCAGGGGCCCGTAAACTTGTTTTCAAATTTCTCACTCCTATCTGTAGCGGCACGAAAACTTAAGAATAAACTGGAAATCTGAAAGAGCGTTCTCTTACGAAAGAGCGTTGAGTAAAATCAATTTGAGAAGATTGATAAAGATACCCAGATTCCGCAAGCTACTAATCAAATCAAAACTTTCGCTTCCGATATATCTCTCGTTTTGTTTTCTTTTTCTCTTTGCTGAAAGATGGAAAGTGAAGAAGAAGCAGGAGAAAGAGTTGACGGGCCTCTCTTGTGGTCCGTGCGCTTTCCTCACTCTTGCTACGGTTACGGCACTGAGTCACCCTGTCGTTAGAAGCCAGATGAAGTTATTTAATGTGTTCACGAGGGTACGCGTGATCATCATCAATATCGTCATCGGAGATCGCCGACCGCTCGAACGGTAGTTGAACCCAGCCGAGTTCTGATTCGTTAAATTAAGCACACAGACGCTCACGCACATACGGGGTGTTCCCGTTATTCCGATCGTTCAGCTCTTTCTCGTGCTATCGGACGAAAAGTGATGCCGTATTAATAAAATATTCAAGTGTTGAGAACTCTTTGATAATTTAATTTGATATATGCAAAAGAAAAGCAATCTAGTTCGATTCGATTTTAATACTTGGACTTTATAACCTTGAACATCTTTGCCGTGCGCAGATTTACTGAAATGAAAATAACGTTAGTCGTTAGCTTGTTGACGATTGCCAAATTTTGTGTGATATGATATTTCAGGTCCTAGCACTATCTTTCATCTGCTGATTATTTACGTTATTCAATTTGAGAGTAATTTCTTAAAATGAATATTTAATATGAGACACTGTATATACGTAGATTGATTAATTCCGCGATTGTTTTATCAGCTCTGGAACGACGCGGGGGAGGAGGATTCGAAGAGGAGAAAAATGGATATCAAATTAGAGTCCGAGGACGCAAACTTCGCATTTCCGGAAGTAGCCCCCGGAACGAGCCCTGACAATAAATCACCGACGGTCAGAACTACCGTCAATGGCATTGGTTTGGGAGGAATATCGGGCAACAGATCCGGAAACGCTAATTCTGTAAGCAGACTTGTAGGAGTAACCAGGCCTCGACCTGCCATGGGCGTGTTGACCAAAAGGACCCCGATCATTCATCAGGGACCCGTCACCCTTATCTCGCAACTATGTACGTCTGCAGGTGTAGAATAAGTCTTTAAATCGTAAATGAATTAAATATCACGATAGAAGCGAGCTTAATTCCAGGTTTCTAAAATAGACCGGCGATGCTAAATCATTTCTAGCGATTGTTTTAATCTTTTCGTGTCTTGAACTCTTGACTCTATAAACCTTTGGTCTGTAGATTACGTGGGTTTTTGTATCTTGGGCTTTCGATTATTAAACTTTTAGAACTGCGAATTCTCAGCTATTGACGATTTTGTTCGCTTTTATCAAGGATAATACTATCCAAATTTTTATTTCGCTTTAATTAATAAGCAATAAAATATATATTCGCGATCGTCACGTACAATTTAACATTTTCAAAAGATAGATTTGCCGCCGGTTGATGCAATCATTGAAAAACATCGCATCTTTTCCTGCAACCTGTTTATCAATATTGAATATATGTTTAGTATCAGCTGAAGTAATACCAACAAAAATCTCGCGTGCGCTTTATTGCATCTCATAAACTCATTCGCTTCTGAAGAGTTTGTATTACTTGAAGTTTGTCTTGCCAGAGGGAAGGGATGAACAATTCGTTACTTCGGAAGCCGCGTTGTCGCCTTCAATATCTTGCAACAAAAGTATACTCATTCGTGGATTTATTTCCGGCGAAATTGCTTATTTTGTCGCTTTCACCGCCGATAAGCTATCACTTTCAAGATGCTTTCTTTTTCTTTTTCTCTGCAACGATAAGAAAGGAAGGCAGCATTAATACATACGCGAAATTCGATACCTCGCTTTTTGATACTAAATATAGGTCAGGTCAGTATTTATAATCCACGAATGTTGGAGAAATGTGTTTCATCATAGACAATTACATAAAAATGATGATAGAAATGTCACGTCTCATGTCTTGACTAAAAAATCAAATTGCTTAACGATGGGTTTGTTAACGATGATATAAACTTTGTAAACTTTATTCTGAACTTCAAAAATTTGAAATTAAAGTTTTTAGAGAATAATAAATTTTTGAAACTTGATAATTCTTCTACTTGAAAGAGATGAAAATTATTCGAACTTGAATGTTTTAAATTTAATCCCTCCAAAGTTCCTGTAGAACAGCTTTTTTTCAAGTTTGTGCCGAATGTTTTGAAAGTTTGAATATTTTAAATTTAAGATATCTATTTCACGAACGATTCGAGAATCTCTCTATCTTCTAGGTCTCCAAATAGTCAAGAATCTGTAATAATTTATTATGCGTCTAGTTTGCTCTTGGATCATTTCCAAGATATTCCACAATATATCTGCCTTCCTTTGGCGTTCTTTCAACAGGCCAATGGTAAACATTTCGCTATCCAAAGATCCCGGCAATCTGGCACTCTTTATTTACGCACACCTGCATGTTCCGTAAATTACTCCCTGACCTACCCCACTCTCCTCAGTAAACTCACGCAGCATCCCGATCTAAAATTGTTTACGACGTTTTCTGATCGCCAGCCAACGTTTCCGCCGACGGCAAGACTCAACTGCAGATCGTCTGTCAACCCGAGCAACAGCATCGAGCTCGCTATCAAACGGAGGGCTCGCGGGGTGCGGTGAAGGACCGTAGCGGGAATGGCTTTCCCATCGTTCGATTGATTGGTTATGACAAGCCGACGACTCTACAGGTGTTCATCGGCACCGATCTTGGTAGAGTGGCACCCCACATGTTCTACCAGGCCTGTCGCGTGAGCGGCAAGAACTCCACACCCTGTATGGAGCGGAAGATCGATGGCACAATCGTCATAGAGATTGACATGGATCCAGCGAAGGATGTTACCTGCGACTGTGTTGGCATTCTGAAAGAGCGTAATGTCGATGTCGAGCATAGGTTTCCTCAAGAAGCTGGACTGTTACAAGGAAGAAGTAAGAAAAAATCTACGCGATGCCGCATGATTTTTCGCACGACTATCACGCATACCGACGGGACCACACAGACGCTGCAAGTCTGCTCCCAGCCGATAGTGTGCAGTGAGTTGATTGATACAATTTTACTCAGACGCTTAGGAAAGCAAGCTAGAGAGATTGACTGAGACAGAGAAAGAAAATTAAATAAAGAGAATAAAATTGTCAAAAATAAATTTTTGAATTCAATCGAGAACGTTTGTGATCTGTTCACTTTTTTAAAAAGTCCTTTTATATGTTTACAGCCCAGCCGCCTGGGATTCCAGAGATCTGCAAAAAGTCTCTGACGTCCTGCCCGTGCACAGGCGGATTAGAACTCATCATACTCGGTAAGAACTTTCTGAAGGACACCCGGGTAGTATTTCAGCTAGACAGTGATGATCTATCGAGTAGTCTGGAGCCGCATTGGGAATGCACTGTGCTGCCGGACAAGGAGCACCTGCATCCGGTACATTTGGTATGCGTGATACCACCTTATCACAGGCAGGATCTAGCGTCTACGGAAACAGTCAACGTCAGATTGTTCGTGGTGTCTTCTGGGAAAACCAGCGAACCGCATACGTTTCTTTACACCGCAGCGTCTACTCCCCCACAGCCATCCATAGGCAAAGTCGAGTCCCTTTCACCTCCGCTAACAAATGGTGACGCTAGCCTGGCCACATCTGCCGCGGAGCGATTGGTCAAAGGTGTCGCATCCAACAGTAAGTTTGATCCTCGGATCCTAGATTTCCGTATTTGTAGATATAGATTTCTCAAATCTGTACTGGGAGCCTGCATGACTGGGTATTTTAAATTGTAGGCTCTTATATATTTAAATATTACATCTTTAACTTTCTACATCTTAAATCTTTCCATTATAGTGTCCTTCAGTTTCTAAAATTTCTATTCGAGGGAAGCTTCAGGTTTCCCAAGTTCTCAGATAGACTGACATTTTGAGAAATGACTGAGTATGATGTGTTCGATATTCGTCAGGTCTGTTAACGCAAACTGCAGCGGGAGCCGCAAGCTTTTTGTCAAACGCACCGGCTCAATCGCAGCAAAGCGCCTCTTCGGAAACTCTGAAGAACGATCCCAGTCCACCACCGGCGGGAACGTCCCAGGTGACCCCCGTGATGTTGTGGACCTCACAATCCTCAAACTCGCCTTCTGATGTCATGATGCCACCCCCGGTGCTCGTAGCAAATCCTCTAATGAACCGACGATCCAGTCTTCAGCTGATCCTGCCGGATAATTTAAAAACGGAAGTACTGGACGAAAACAGTCAGAATAGTATGCTAAGTGAGAATAGCATGCAAAGCATTCCGACGCCGACAATGGCTGCAAACGGACCGACGTCGGTAGCCTCTCCCCTTCAGCAACTGGTCAACGAAAACTCCAGAGAAGCCGCGCCCTCGCAGGCTGATATTATTAGGACCGTTGCCGTCGCAACGGCTAATAACAGCCCTGTGCAAGAGACTGTGAGTGGTCTTCTTGGGGTGGTAGATCTGATACGTACTCAGCATCCTCTGTCAATGGTGAATACGCATCATCAGACTTCGTTTCCAGGTGGGTATTTGGAGCGGGTTAGCAGTGGATATTCGATAAGCTCATTCGGTAAATTCTCGATTACTTTCATTTTTAAATCTTTAATGAAATTTTAAGCAGTTTTAATTCTTTCTTAAAATAAATTTCTTAATTGTCGGTTGTAGGCATGCATGAGTCAACTCAGGTCCAAGTTCTTAGTCCTCATTGCCTTAAGGACACAAATGGTGTCCTGTCGGACAATAGCTCCAATGGAGCTCCCCTTCAAGGTGCCGGCGTAGTGGATCTTCGCATGAAACACCATCATCATCCCGACTTCGGCACACTGTCGAGTTTCACCGGTACTTCCGGGACGCAGTCGTTGTCGACGTCGAGCAGTCATGTGGTGGAAAAGTACCTGAATCACATGGAGTCCTCGGTTGGCACCACCGAGGAATCTGATAATCCAGAAAACGAGTTCGCTCTTCAACAGCAGCGGGCTTCCATTATCTCGGGAAGCAGCCAACAGTCAACGGCTCCCTCAGGAATTCTAGCCAATACAGGTACAATGTTACATAGAAAATGATTTTTTTTATGTAGTACAATCACTATTGAAGAATGCGCGTACAATCTCTTTTCATTTTATCATAATTTTAAAGATCATAATTTAAATATTAAATTTTAAGTTCCTAATTTCTTCATTAGAAACTGTACAAACTGCAACTTAGAGAATACAAGTATATTTTCCATGCTAAAACATGCTGACGCTATCCCTTTTCAGGACAAAGTTCAGTAAAGTTGGAGGCCTTAGTAAACTCCGCAGCTGAGCAGATGGTCTCTCCATTGCACTCGGCGAATCCCAATTCTACTGCAATGTTGAGCCACGTGACGGCAGAACAGGAGTCAATAGGTAGCTGTCAGCAGACTAGAACTAGTCCACCGATTCCAGTGAAGACGATGTTGCTGGAAGCGTTAATCCCGTCACAGGCGGTGCAGCCACTGGCAGAGATTGCGACATCAGTGGCGCCTGCACCGACGGTAGAACAAACGGGAGAGAGTTTGTTAACTACTATCAACGCAGCACTATTGCCGCAGTTGCCCGATACACAAGTCAGCGCGGCAACCGCCACGTCGAATTCCACGGTATTTTTTAACCGAAAACAAAACAGATATAAGTAGTTTGACGAGAAAGCTAGTAGCAAAAACAAAATTTGTAGTAATCTAAGAATAAAGTTTAGATTTTCTGAAAGAAATTTTTGTTAATTTTTGCGAGACAAAATTTTGAATTTTAAAACGAAATTTAAAATTTTAAACAGCAATTTTTTTATTTAGAATAAAATTTCCTTGGTGCACATAAATGAATGAATATAAAACAAGGATATCATGTGTTCTTTCTATTTTTTTTCCAGGTTGCCGGCAATACGATACCAGCAGTTGCAACAGACCATATGCAGCAGCAAATGCAAGGACTCACGCAACAAGAGGTAGCTGTGATGCAGCAACAGGTACAACAAGTGGAACAAGTAGTAGCGCAAGCGCAGCAACAAGTTGAGCAAGTTGTCGCGCACGCGCAGCAACAGGCGGTCCAAGTGGTGCATCAGGCTCAGCAACAGGTAGTTCAGCAAGTAGTGCAGCATGCTCAAGTGGTGCAGCAAGCGGTACAACAAGTGCAAGCTGTGCAGCAAGTTCAAGCGGCTCAGGTAGTGCAGCAAGCGGTACAGCAAGCGACTGAAGAAGTGGTGCAACAAGCAGTGCAGCAAGCTACGCAAGAAGTAGTGCAGCAGGTTAATGATAATTTTATATATCATATAATTTTTTAAATCATTTTCAATTAAGTTATTATAAAGATACAGAGTTTATTATTCAGAAATGAATGCAAACTTTCAAATACATACATGTGTATGTGTATGTATTACACGCGCACAAAATATATATCTTAAAAGGTTTTAAAATTTTAATAGTTCTAGACTTTAGAAGAAATTCTTATCTTCTTTTCTCTCAATCATTAGTTATTAAAAATTATAATTCCACATTAAATACAATGTGTCATTTATGTCAAACAAAAAATGTTTCAGGTTCAAGCAGTGCAGCAAGCAGTTCAACAAGCTCAAGCGGCTCAGGCTATGCAGCAAGCTGTTCAGCAAGACATTGGTTCCATGCTAAACCAGCCCGCGGGCTTTGTGGCCGAAGCTAGTTCTGTTTTGGCTAGTACTCAGGAACCTTCTCAACAGCGTTTGACCAACGCAGCGGAACAAGCTATCAATAATGTCATCACCAATGCCACGAAGGACATTATCAACAATCGGCCGATCTCGACGACCACCGCTCATGCAATCATCGCCACGAAGAAAATCTTGAACAGCGTAGCGACTCAAAGCGCGCAGTTGATGAACAACACAATGGAGGTCATCTTGCCGAAGTCTCCCTCGGCACAAAACAATATCATCGAACAGGTCGCCAGCAAATCGCCACCAGTCGCGCTTCCAGTCACTCCAAATCGCCAGGCTGTGAACGCCCCGATTTCCAATCCCGCCGCCAACACCGCATCCAACAGGAAGACAGAGGATGGAATGCTGCCTCAAGAACTCACCTCCATGTCGGAACATGATCTTTTGAGCTACATCAATCCCAACTGTTTCGAGCAGCTTCCGCAAAACGGATTCCTCTTGTAGTACCATCGCGTTTCTCAACAGAGGAGGAAGGGATGATTTTTTTCAACGAATTTATTTCCAAATGAAAGTTTGAAGACTCTGCCTTCTGTGTCCTGCATTTGGTACTAAATATAGCTGCCTGGTTTTAAATTTCACTTGCTTCGTATTGAAGAGTGTTGAAAATATTATATGGAGCTTAGACTAGGCCCGTAACTAGCTAAATGTGGGATACAAGAATTCAAGAACGTTTAAACAATTGAAACGTCTTGTAGAATAGGTGTTTCTTGGACTTTTGCGTTGTTTGGATTTGTTACTGTGCAGAATTAATCTCAATTCGGGTTACGAGGTCATTACCTTGGTCCGACGCTGACAATTCTATATCATATTTGTAATATGATGCGAATTCACTTTTATAGAAGGGAAAGTAGAAGTACATTACGTCAACTTTGGGTCTCGGCACATTTCTCTAGGTTCCTCTTCGAAATATAGTTGTGGATTTTAGAATTTTTAATTGCCAAACTATTGCATTTTTTTATTTTAACCCTTTTAGTATAGAAGAATCTAGCTGAAAATCGTTCTTGCCACACAGGCGTACTAATGTACATTAGTACGTTTAGTAGTGAATAACTACTATACATGTGCTCTTGAAGATTTTTAAAGAATATTTTCATGTACTAAATTAGTGATAAGAAAGCTAACACAGTCCGAGCAGGATAGTAAGTAGTTCAGTGGTTTATTGTGTGAATTTTTATATACTCTTTGGATTTGTCATTTTTCGTGCTGAAAGGGTTAACAATTTTATTCTCCTAACATATAGGATCCTATATGTTATAAAATATTATTTGACTATTTGTTCGAAGTATTGTAACAAATTTCTTAATGACCCAAAGTTTTCAGAGATACTTCCTGATTATCCTGTGATTCATATTAAAGAAATGGCGTAAGTCCACAGCAGCAGATCATCAAGGATCGAAAACTATTAACGTTTAAGTATAAGACGGGCGCACGAGAAAGCGCGACAAATTCAAATGTTCTTCTCTTTCATACATCTTTTCTTTCTTTGTACGTTTTATCTTTCCTATGAATTGTCAATCTTTCTTGGCGATTCGTTATTTATCTTCAACGATGTATGTGCAACTAGATACGACGTATATTAACTTGTGCTGTATTTTTATATATTTTAAATTCTTTTTAATTGCAGGACTCAATAATACGTGAATAATGCAAACCTCAGACGTAGATCCCATATACAATATTGGGATTCAATTGAAGCGTCTTAGAGCTAATTAATTAATATTAATAGAAGAAATTAAGAAGTTACTTAAAAATAACAGTAAAAGCAGAATTTGACCAAGTTTCCAGTTTTATTTCTCGAATTTTAGAATCTTTATTTCTCGCTTTTGCAACATTTAAAAAGGGAAGTGCCGGAATACAAATGGGAACACGTGTGTGTTATTATATATAGTATATTACGTTGTTGTGATTATTATTGACTTGATTTCATTGCGAAAGAATGGATCATCTCGTCGCTGTGGTCTCCACATGTCTGAAGCATATATTGCGTATGTTTAGAATATGTATATTATTCGGTAACCGAAGTTATTTTGTTTTCTTCTTCTTTGTTATCTAGTATATTGATAATGATAGAGTTATGTGAATGCATTAATGTTATCATTACTTGATACAGGATTAGAAAACTGACAGAGAATGAGAGAAAGACAGAGTGAGAGATTATGTTATATGTTAAAGTAGTACATATATATAAATATATATATAAAAAATATATATATTTTTTACGTTTATCCAAAGAGAGAGTAGAAAGCAGAGAGTGGGCAGTAACAAAGTGAGCTTATTAAGGATATGTGTCCATACAATTATTATATATATATATATATCTATATTGGATGTAACTAAAGTGCGTTTCTTTATATGAAAAGAAAATAGAGTGTACTTTCCTTTCTATAGTTTTTAAGTTTTCTATGTAAATCCTCAGGTACCGATTAATCTCAAACGATCGTGTAAAGTTGTCATTTTTCGCCTATTCTGATACCGCGTGAAACCTGTTTCACAAATCATAGACTGATTACGTATCGGTTAAAGATTTACATGGTCGCGCGAAACGTCGAGTTTAAGTGAAAATTCGAGTTTCTAAGGGGAAATCGTATGATTACACCCAGATTCTTTCAATTCTCCGGCTTCTTTAAGTCGACGAACTTTATCAGAATTATGATCTGGAGTTTCTCTAGATTTCTAAATTCCTAAATCCTCGAATTGTGTATCTGAAGATAGGTTTTTATCTTTAATTTTTTAATTTTGGCCACTCAGGATTCCTATAGACTTCCAGAAAAAATTGTACGAATATTCTTGAATTTTACTGATCTCCCGTGTTCTGCCTAAATGTTAAAAAAATCTTGAATCATCGATTTTCTGAGCTCTTACATTATTTCAACGCACTTCAGCGATATCCCATGTACGTATATCGCGACATCGAATTTTTCGGGGTAGTTCCCCACATGTTCAAGACGAGCGGTGCTAATATTCGCCAAGATAATGTAGCTAATAGAAGAAAGAGAAAGAAAGAGAGAAGAGAGAGAGAGATTTTATAACGAAAAATATAACGAAACATTTATTGTCGCGACAGCAACATGTCCTTTGTAGCCAAGTATATATACACGCATATATATATATACATACATATATATATATTTTATATTGACCGTTATAATGTGTCTGTAGTCGCACGCGATGACTAATGGTTCGCCTCACAGGGAAGATTACTTGTGTACCACTTGCGATATGTACCTCGTGAAATTGTCATAAACGTGTGCTCTTCTCGTTGTACGCACGTCGCTGATAATAGCTATCAGCCTAACTTCGACAGAAATTCGTAACAATGTATCATTATTTACTCCTGTAAGTTGAAAATAAATGTTTCACAATGATATTCTCACGCGCGTTCCATTTTCTATGTCGCATTAACAATTTGTTAACAGAATATATCGAACATTAAAGTAAATTGGCGCCAAACAAATCTATACTCAACTTGTATTCTAGCGAAAGAATCTATTAACTTTATCTAATAAGGGACGACGCTTCCCAGCAAATCGACTAGTATTATCGAACAATATCTAGCAAGAAATTGCGGTAACCCAAAATATCTAAATTTATATGCTGTTTCGAGATAACTGTTGCAAATATACAAAATTAAATCTTGCTGAAACAATTGTGATAAACAAGGTAAGTTTCTAAAAATATAAAAGCAATTTATATACCTGTATACGCATGTACAATACACATATACAATTGTAATATACAGTATGTTTATTTACAATATGTATAATGGTAATTAAAATTTATATAGTTAAAATATATTTCACTTGTGTAGTATTTAAGTTCTATCTTTATATATTTATACATAAAGTACAATATTAAAGTATTTTTCCAGGATAAGCATTTTATACATTTGTGTTCAAAGCTACTTCGCCTCTTGAAATATTCAATTTTATCTAATTTTTCAATATTCCTCGTGTGAGCGACACATCTATTTATATTTTGCCTTTAATTCTCCACCAGCCACCGTCTTCTTCTTGCAGCACTTTCCCCTCTTTCTGCAGCTTGCGAAGATGGTGTCCCACAGTAAAGGCTGCAGCTAACCAGAGTTTCTCGGGGGTGCCCTATATGGAAATTTTTTAATTTCAATTAATTTCTTTGCAAAATCAAATCAATGATTTACACGGGTAATTAACTCATTGTAACTTGCATTATTTCAGCGAACCAAAACATCAATTCAGAGTGCGTATATTCTCTAACGTGTCTCAATTAATATTTACTTTGTATATCTGCTTAACGATATCCATCTCTGTCATCGACTTATCGCTTCCCTCTTGCAGCATCCGTAGAATTTCCTCCTCTCTCTGCTGCCTGTGCTTGATGTAGTACTGTATACGTGGCAGAGGATCGTCGAGAACCGGCCCGTGGCCCGGATAGATCCTCTTGGGTTGCAACTCCAGGATCTTGTTCAGCGATAGCATGTAATCGTGAAGATCCTCGAAGACCGACGTGCCTTCCCCGAGGATGCAGTCGCCGCTGAACAAGATATCCTCATCCTGTAGCAGCAGGCAGGCATGATCGGTGGTGTGTCCCGGTGTGTACTTGATTTGGAGCTTCGCTCCCTCGACCTCCACCACTTGGTCGTTCTTCAGAGATTCCCACTGGACGGACCTCTCGTCGTCCGAACTGTCCTTGTCGTTCGGCGACCGCGGCAGCTTCCACACGGTTGGCTGTTTGTCTGTGGGGAACAATTTCTTCACCGACTCCACGCCACCGATGTGATCGTGATGCCAATGGGTGATCACCAGATGCTCGATAGTCGCGTTCTCTTCGCTCAATACGCTGTCCAGGAGTTTTACATAGGCGTCGGCCGTTTTGGCTTCTGTAGAATCAACCAGCACGCGTCTGCAATAACGAGTTGGTCGTCGAGAAAACTTTACTCGCGTTCATTCGGGGAGCAACGTGTTGAGTGTTTTTTTTTTAAATTAAATATTTCACTTCTTTTTTTGTACGATTAACGAATATTAGGAAAGAGCCAGAATTAATAAATAATGAGAAAGAGACAGAACCTAGAGAGATTATTCTAAGAGGTGGAAATATTATTTGCTACAAAGATGCATTTTGCAACGCGTGTCATTTTAATGTTATTTTACTGTCGTTAATGTACTTTATCATTTTTATCTATTCAATAAACAAAACTAGATAAATGATAATGTACTTTATCATTTATCTATTTTTGTTTATTGCTACTCCATTTTTCGAAAAAATACCAAGTTTATTGTAATCATTAGAAATAATACAATTGGAAATTATTGGAAATTTTCTCAGAAACATTTTCAACACTATTAATAATCGACAAAGATGCTCCCGCTCTCTTCTGTCCGATTAAACAAAACGTGTCGCCTCCCAGTGAGAAATGATTCGTCGATCGATGTTCGACTCGAAATCGTTTCGACATCGATCGACGAGTCATTTCTCGCTTGGCTACGATTTAAACACTGGCGCGCAATTTACTGGCGCATGCGCGTGTTACAATTTCGAGGCGTAAGTCTAACCTACAAAAGAGTTGTGATTTTTAATTCCCCTTCGTTTCCCTTCGGTCTTCAAACATGACAGCGGCAATTTTGATCAACGCTGGCTTCTCTCCTCACATATCAAGCCGTGATTTATCACAGCTTCACGTAAATTTCGAATGTTATCTCTTCAATCAGCACGACTGGCGTGTTTTTTAACCTAATATACCGTCATTTCGATATCGTTTGTTATTGAAGAAAAAAACGACAGTTCAGTTCGACACTTCTCTCTCTCTCTGTTGGAGGTAAACGGATCACGTATGTACACCCGGTAGTGTCTGCCGAACGTAGAGACCGGGGGTTAGGCCACCGATGCCCTTCTCCACCAATGCAGATTAATTTTAACCCCTGTTCAACCGAGTTTTCATCTTTTTCCAGTTCCCGAGACTAGAAAAAGACAAAGCGCAAGTTAAACCGGGATCAAAGTTAATCGCGCATCGGCGGAGATTCGGCATGAATGACGCGCGTCACCTGCGTCCGGTGCCCACGAGGTAGGTGTTGGTACCCTGCAGCGTCATCGGGCCGGGATTGCACCCCAGGATCCGGATCACCCTGGAGGAGAGCCTGGCTATCGGCGGCAGTTTCGTCAAGGACGTCATCCTCGCACTCGGCTCGTTCGCTCGCGGGACGTTCGTGAGGAGAAGCAAAAGGAGCAGGCGCACTTTGGAACTCGGTCCACGTTCTAATATCACGCGTGCATTATCTCTAATCTCCATTCAGTGCGGGCCACGCCAGGCTGCTTCCTACACTTTCTACACCCGCGATAATAGAAATGTGTATACAAATCGACTTTTTTTTTTTCTAAAACTTTCTGTCTTCTCATCGTGACAGTGAAACCTTGACGTCACTGCGATCAAACGCGGGAATTATCTTGCTGGTGATACGTCGAGATAAATTTGTCTTTCTTTTTTTTTAATACCGCTACTCGCTATTTATAAAATAAGTATAGATATAGATTTATAAAATATCGTCGGTGTGGTTCTATTGAAATACGTCAACGCTTTGAATGCCGAGTTAATTTCGGCATTGAGCTCGGGGAAGGTCCGAAGTCGAAGTATCTATACATAAAGTGCAGCTGTTTAATATATACAAAACATGTAGATAGTCAAATTATTCATGTCGAATATATATATATGTATACGAAAAATATATATTATTGATACTATAGTATAATTTTAGATGCTACAAAAATTGTTATACTCGGACCGAAATAATAGATTTTTGTGATTCCAGTGGATAGAAGTGAAAATTTTTTTTTTAATTCGCATAATCATCTATTCCTAATTTATCTCCGGACTCGCCAGCAGTCCACGACGGAATGTTAGACACAGGGCTTTATCTGCAGCTTATAAATTGTAATCCAACGTAGAATTGCGCGAGACGCCAAGAGATGGTGCCTCGTGGCCCGTCGGGTTCATGCAAATCGCCACACGTGCGATTCGAAAAGCGTGTCGGCAGATGCTGGGTGCGCGGAAATCACGATGTACCCACGAGTTGGCAATCGTAAGGGCCCGAGCAGAATGGCTGTCTTGTATTCTTAACCCTTGGGAAAATACATATACCTTAGAAAACCTTCAACTTTTACTTTAGAAAAATAAGAAGTATGAAAAGTAAATTTGGACACTTTAAACTTTTATATTGAGGTCACTTTAAAACTAACTTTAAGAATTGTGAAAAGTATGTGATATAATTTACAATACCGCGTGCTGTTTTCTTCTTACGAGAAAGTGCTATGCCGCGCGGCCCTCTAGCGGGAACTTCGACAGGCTTGCTTATCCAAAAATTACTCTAAACTTTTTTAAGTAAACTCTTAGATTTAAAAGATTACTTTTAAAAACTTTAGTTTCATTTAAAGTATATTTTCCCAAGGGAAGACACAAGACAGTTATTGCGCGTTGCTTTAAGACAAAGATTTAAAACATAAAACATCGTCTTATTAAGAGTACAAGACAGCCATTCTGCTCAGGCCCTAAAGCTAGCGATATTCGTGACGCGAGACAGTTCGAGATTCGCTGTTCGCGCCAGTTCGACGGCCGAGCGATTGTTTTTTTTTTATTCATAAAATCAAAGAACACGAATCGCCGCGAATTGCGCGCAGGCGGTAACTCGAGCGTTCGAGCGCACGTTTGAAAAGCGGTCGGTCCGTCCCGTCATCGGCGCTCGCGAGACAAAACGGTGAATGGTGTAACGCGAGCGTCCATGCGTGCCCTGCTCCGTATCGCGCGCGCGGCCCCGACGCGGAATTCTCCGTCGCGATTACACGCGCCTTGCCCCGCCGCGGGAAAACAAACGCAACGTATCGCTACGTAACCGTGCATGCACGCGGGGCCGTTAATTAATATCCTTCCGCGTAAATTTAGGCGAACACGTACAGTGACGGACAGAATGGTTGCGACACTGTTTGTTTAATGAGTTTAGGAACGTGCATTTATATAGATTCAGGGTTACATCTCAAAATCTTCTTCACTGAGGAATATTTTACTCGATGGCCATTTGAAACTATTTCGAGCGTTTCTGATCTATTTCTCGAGTTTCTAAACTCATAAAAAAAAACCGTGTCGCAACTATTCTGTCCATCACGGTGACGGACAAAATGGTTGCGACACTTTTTAAAATATGTTTAGGAACGCGCGTTTAGATTCAGGTTTACGTTCCAAAACATTTTTTCTCTGAGGAAAATTTTACTCTAAGAGAAATGGATCGGAAACGCTCGAAATGGTTTCGGGATCGGCCATCGAGTAAAATATTCCTCGGAGAAGAAGTTAAGGCATCATTGATGCCTGTCTCCCAGTGAGAAATGATTCGTCGATTGACGTCATCAATTTGACGGTGTCGATGTCGATTCGACATTGATCGACGAATCATTTCTCATTGGGCTAAGCGCTTTGATGAACGCACAAAACTTCGTGCATAAGTCGTTAATAACTCTATCGTGGAAAAACATGATGTTATGTATCAGTAGTAGTCTTTTTAAATTCGAATCAATCTTATTATAGTTCAATACAGTATTAAATTTAATAAAACAAGTAACGTTTCACTAAAACCAAAGTACGGCAAGTAGATAGAAGGAATTGCTTTGTATTTTATCTTGGATCTTTGTGCCAAATAAAATCAGTGCGTGAAATTTATACATTTTTCGGTCCCGCGTGATATGTTTGTTTCATTAATTACACTTACTGACTGAATAAGATTACTTTCTTTACTTTACTAACTGCTGTTATTACACCTTTCTTTTGCGTGCGCAGAGACCACCTGTTGTAACTTCACTTCTATTTTATATAACGATCCTTTTGTACAAAGAAATATTTCACGATGACTGACATGAGTCAAGCGAACCGATCTATATATACAATTATAATGTATGTTCCGCCGACTGGAATGTCGGGAAATTCATTTTTAATCGTTCGATGACTAAGGCCCGGTTTCACCCACGTCGCTTAATCCTAGTTTAATTCGTTCTCTGTCTCTTTCCAACTGTTACCCTAGAAAGAGACAAGCATGAATTAAACTGAGATTAAAGTTAAGCAACGTTTGGTGAAACCGCGGGCCTAAATAAACAAAGCGCCGAAGATACAAATAAATTAAGCAACAATATGATACCAGTTTACCGGAGTAAAATAAATTTAGAATTGCAAGAGATAAGTAAAGGATGACGAACGTGAGGCAACGAGAACCCTTTCCGAGATAAAAGATGCTATCTGCAATTTCATTTTGACGCGAAGAAAATCGCGCCCTCTCTCTAAAGAAACTGCTCCAGATATAAAAGCGGTGGACCATTCAACAAGGCGGCAAACACAGATTCGGTTATAGATAATTAAACGCGCCACCGTCAACTTCCACGTTGAGGGGATCGATTTTCATTTCCTGCGTCATCGCAACGCGGATTTTGATTTTACGTACAGTGTCACGTACAAAGGTTTCGCTACACTGACCCACTAACATGTTTATCTACGGACCAGCCATCGATTCCCCCCCCCCCCCCGTCGTCCTCCCATTAAAGCGACCCTAAAAAACGCCCTGACGCACGCGATCCACCTTCGCCCCGTCAAACAGCCGGCTTGTTTGCGCTCCCGACTCGCAGGTCGCAAACAGACGTCGCGTTCAAAGAGCGTTAATCGTCTCGTGAATTATTTATTGCGACACCATGTCAACGGAAACGCGCGTGGCTGCACGGGCGCGGGACTTTCAGCGGGATTTTCAAAGCCGGATTCCCCAGCGAGAAATGACTCGATCGATGTCGAATCGTTTGCAATTAAGCGAGAGGCGGGAGGGAAATGGAAATAACCGAGTACAGCGTCCGAAAAATGCAGCAGAAGCTTTGCACAGGCAGAAGCGCACGCGCAATGAATGACCGCTTAAAGACCCGTTTCACCAGCGTCGCTTAACTTTGACCTTAGTTTAATTCATCCTTAGTCTCTTTCCGACTGTCCCTTTGGAAAGAGACAAAGAACGAATTAAACCGGGCCTTAGCGACGTTGGTGAAACCGGGCCTAATTTTTGTCTTATTAGAAAAACAAAAAGAATCGAGAGAGGCGTCGATCTTCCGCGCGCCATTTTGTCTCGCGCGAGCTTCGAATCCAGGGCTGCGTTCGGAAAATAATACCCTGGGACGCTCGGGTGATGTTTCCGAATGCAGCCCACGATTCGGTGTCGCGCTCGTGCGATAATCGGCGTCTCTTGCTCGTCCGACGATAAATACAACATGTCTACCCAGTGAGAAACGATTCGTCGATCGACGAGCCATTTCTGACTGGATAATATCGTAACAAATGATACGACAATCATTGACGAGGGATTCTTTTTCGACACTTTGCCCTCAGGGCTTCGCGAGGGCCCGGTTAGGCAAACCGTCTGTCTGCGGGGCCTCCGCGAGCACAATCGTGAGGATCCAGCGAGAAAAATGACCCGTCGAATGATGTCGAAGCGATGTCGATCAACATCAACACCGTCAAATTGACGTCGATCTCCCCAGTAGCGCAGTGCATTGGCTAAACATTGGTCCAATACAACCAAATATTGAACCAATGTTTAACCAATGTTGGGATCAATAAAGTGTGCTACTACATATAGGGTTGACATCAATGTGAAGGTGTCGATGTCGATTCGACGTACATCGTTTCGACATCGATCGGCGAATCATTTCTCACTGGGGATCGATCGCGCGGTTTCTCTCGCCGCCCGATACCCCTGTGCTTGCCTTCAAAACAAGATCAACGACACTTTTGCGAGCCGTTTTAGCTCGCAGATAGCAGCCGTCGCCGCCGCCGCCGCCGCCGCGCCGCGCGATCGGCGATCACGAGCGCGGCGGCTGACTCGCAGCCGTCGCGCGCCCGAGACAGACGCAATGGTAAACAGTAAACGAGATACACGGTCGTTCTCCGAACCAGAAATAAAACGGACGGCTTAATTTGGGCCGGAGAGCACGAGGACTCCGTCCGGGTCTTCGACTCTCCAGTCGAGTGGCTCTAGCGGAAAAGCGGCCGTGACGGCGAAAACGCCGATCGACCGAGCCCGCCGTTGCGTTCGAGGCGCACTTGACACACTTAACGATTTGTCGCACGACTCGCCCGCGTAGCGACTCGCGAGACTTCGCTCGAGACGGCGGACGTGGGCTTCCGTCGCGGCCGTGTGTGTGACTCATGAAATTTTCATCCGTAAAACTTTTAAGCCTCTGCTACAATGATTCTCGGTTCTGTCTACAATGGTCGCAGTCTTAGAATCGTAGAGTCATGGATTGGGTCGTATCGATGTATAACTGAAACCGATTTTCTGTTTTTGAGGTATTTTCCCACGATATATTCGACATATAATGACACACGACATATAACACTATTCTCTGATTGGTCCGTCGCGGCAATAAATCGCAGTCGTGGTCGTTGGAATAGGAATTGAACCTATTCGAGCGACTACGACTACGACTGCTTTGCGACTGCTCAAGCGACCATCGATACAACTGTACGACCATTGTAAACAGAACCGAGAATCATTGTAGCGGAGGCTTTACGGGCGACGAAAAGTCCGTGACATTTAATTAGTGGCACGGACCCATAGACATATAAAAGATAGACTGCTTATGAGGCAGTGGAACCCTATAGGTGGGGGCATCCTCCTGAGGGAAAAGGACAACATGAATTTATTTGGGTATCTGTCTTCCTCTAATGGACGTGATCTGAAGGTGATCACGTACACTAGAAGAAGATAGATACCCAAATAAATTGGTGTTGCCCTTTTCCCTCAGGAGGACATCCCCCACTACCTCATAAGCAGTCTATCTTTTATATGTCTATGCACGGACCCGATCCCAGTGAGATATGATTCGCCGATCGATGTCGTCGAATTGACGTCGGTTTGACATCGTTTCGACATCGATCGACGAGTCATTTATCGCTGGGGTGTTTACTTCGTTCAGCGGAAAAAGCTGCTTTGCAGTTATTGTAAAATTTGCGTCTGATTGGAGTACGCTCTTACAATTAGATTCAACATAAAGAGTATACGCGCCAGCTGCAAGGCAGTCTTTTTTTCTGCCGAACGCGGCCAATGTCCTCGGGAGCAAAACAGACGCAACGGTAAACAGCGAACGCCCGATCTACCTAATCGCTATTCTCGAGCATTCGAATTCGAGCCATTGCGCACGGCATGCGGATCGAAAACAAGCTCGACCGGGTGCGAGAATGGAATTAACTATTCCGCGAAGTGGGCGGCCGATATATTTAACACAATCGAGCGCGTGTTCCTCGTAACTTTCTTCGTAACCGGGAACCCTCGATCTTTCCTTTTCCAATTTTCCGAGTATCCTGTGTAACAGCGTTTTCGCGATTGAATAAGAACAGGAAACGTAAAAAACTCAAGTTAACTTAAAACTTGAGACTTAAGGGAAATGACCAATGAGAGTCGAGAACGTAAGCAGCCATTTTGGGACTTAAGCAATGCTGAAAATTCCGAAGGTTGAAATTCTTAAGTTTTTTCGCGTGTTCGGGCCTCGACTTAAGCTGGAAACGCACGAAGAAACTTAAGCGGTAAGCCTTAAGAATTTCCACTAATCGGAATTTTCAGCATTGCTTAAGTCCCAAAATGGCTGCTTACGTTCTCGACGGTCATTGGCCATTTCCCTTAAGTTTTAAGTTTTACTGCTTAAAGTCGCAACGGCACGCGATACTATTTTTCCTACTAGATTGGTTACGAGAGCCAATAAGGATGCAGAGTTTTAGATCAGCTGATTCAAGGTTAAATCCTGATTGACTCTCGTAAGCAATCCAGTCAAAAAAAAGTGTGCCGTTGGCTCAAGTTTTCGTGTGTTCGGGACTTTAAGGCTAAAGTCAACGGTACGCGATACGATTTTTCCTACTGGACTGTTTACGTCGTTTACGAGAACAAATAAGGAACGCGAGGTTCTGGATCTGGGGACACACAGGCTGCGGTCAAGCTACCGCTGCAAACGCTTCGAAGCGTTTCTCCTCTCTACTCTTTATTGAAAGAAAAGAGAAGACGAATACGTCGTAACGTTCGAAGCGACAGCTTGACCGCAGCCTCAAAGCTAAATTCCGATTGGCTCTCGTAAGCAATTCGGTAGGAAAAATGGTATCGTGTGCCGTTGGCTTTGCTCGGCGGCGAAAGAATCCTAGTCAGAAATGACTGGAGAACCGACGTCGAAACAATATCGAATCGATGCATTTTTGGTTCCATTTTCGAGCCAAGTCGAACCAAAAATGCATCGATTCGATATTGTTTCGACGTCGGTTTTCCAGTCATTTCTGACTGGGATGCTACCACCAATTGTGGGACGCGCGCAGCGCGGTCGACGCGACGCGCGTCCGTCGGATCTGTGTTGTCGCCGAAGGAAGGACGGGAGATAACATCAGCCGGCGCGCAGGCGATTTATCTCACGGCTGTCAATAGCGTGTACAGCTTCATTCGCATGCGGTCGCGCTGTCGCGATTTTCCGCTTAATTTTTTATCCTGCCGGGGGAAAATTGACAAATGAGTCTTCCGCGGCGTCGAGAAACGAGAGAATGCCGAAAGTTTCCACTCCTCTTTTTTTAATTATACATATTTATTATCCGTCGTATTTGTCATTCCACCTCGTACTCGACGCTGAAAAGGTCGCCCGTGAGGTTTCCGCAACGGCGCTTCGGATGCGAGGCACACACGCTTCTTTCCATTTGACTTTCCGACGTGTCATTGTTTTGTTCGCTACGCGCGAACGGCGACGTAGGACAAAGTATTCGACCTCGACGTATCAGGCCGCTATCCACGGACCGTCGGTAGACCCGCGTGCGGGCTCCTTCCGGCGCTTGTTTTCTACCGATCACTCCGGATGCGGGTACGTCGCGACGTACCAGGTCGTGTTACGGGCAATACGCGCTGAAATAATTTGCCCGCTGAAGCGGCGAGGAAATTTAGCTGAAGGAGAAGCTGTTTTAACCAATCGACTTTCCTATAGGAGAGTAGAATTTTCGCACACGTGTCTCTCTTCGAGTGAATTCAAGAATCGAGTCGCTGATCGACGTTACGGTTTATTTTCGGTGGACGTACTCAGCGAGAGATCACTCGTCGATCGATGTCGAAACGAAACCGAATCGACGTCGTTTGGACGAATCATTTCTCACTGACGAATAGCGAATTCGGTTGCTTGCACTAGTGCGCACGTCAAGTGCACACTAAGGCTTGTTTACAGTCAATTCTTATATTTAAGAGTCGTCTTAAATATCTCTGGAAATATTTCGTAGCCAGTAAAATGATCTATAGCATCCACGCGGATCACTTTTCGGCGAACTACTCTTTGAATATGTATTTAAGACAAAGTTAAATATAAAAAAAATGACTATAAACAGGTCTTAGTGTGCGTGCACTCAGTGCGTGCTAGAGCAAGTAATCGAATTCGCTATACGTTTCCATCGAGGGTCAAAGCCGGGCTAGAGTCGAGTCAGAATTGAATTGGGGTGAACGCTCTTGCGGTGGAAACACCAAACTCGAGAACCCGAACCTGAAGCTGAACCTGAAACATACATTATAACATTTTAAGGTAGCGTCCAGATGAGCTTCGGTGGAAGCGACAAGAGTCGAGTAAAGCCCGTATCAGACTACAGACTTCTGACTCTGACTTGACTACTGACTCGGACTCCCGACTATGATTCAACCAATTAGAGTGGCGTCTATTCCCAAGACGACAGTCGGAGTCGGCCGGTGCTTTGCGGTGATTGGTTGAATCATAGTCGGGAGTCCGAGTCAGTAGTCGAGTCAGAGTCGGGAGTCTGTAGTCTGATACGGGCTTTAGGTTTCTGTAGTGTTGCCAACAGGTTAAATAGTAACAAGTAGCCTTTTGATTTACCACGATTCTGATTTTACCTCAAGTAAAAAAAAAGTAAAAGAAAAAGTAAAAGTCACTAAACTTGAGATTAGTAATCTTTACTCCGATTGGTCAAATTTCAATCCAATCTCAATCTCAGTCCGTAATCTGACACGGGCTTAATAGTCACTGAGCGTTCTTTGCGTCTAGAGACTTTGGCCCATAATCCCCTTTTATCGACAAGAGTGCCGGCAGAAGATCTTTTTAGCCAATATTAGGAGTCCTTCGCAACTAATTTTAGTGGCACCTTTATCGACGAAAGAGGATTCAGACCTTTACAGAAATGTAACAACTTGGAACGAAGCAAGTACTGAAGAAATTACTAGATTTCAGTAATCGAATTATTAGAAATTACTGATGTACGGTAATTTTCTAGTAATTATTCCGCTTACATTTCTATAAGGAGATTATAAACCATTCTACTTTGCATGAGTAAATAAAAAAACGCTCTTGAAAAGTTTCTCGACGATGCACGATTGTACAACGTGTGATGTGCAATCAAGTTGCACAGCTTTCTCAAACGTATTTGTCGGCTGTAAAATAGAATCCTGGAGAGCGTGTTGCAGGCCAGGCTTTATTTTCATTTATCGAACGAAAGCTGCGTTTTCATCGGACGATCTAGGAGTCACCGCTACAAAAGCACGCGAAGAAGACTGTAGTAACAATTATTATCTAATCACGGGCAGGAATATTTCTGGAGAAGCTAATTTATGGAACGTATCTTCTTCGAAACTGTTGGCCAAGATCGAAATGGAACGCAAGAAAAGTAAAAAAAAAAAGAAAGCGAGAGGAAAACGAGAGCTTTTTAACGCCAACGCTTTAAAGTTGTATCTCCTCAACGGAGAACGAGGCGACGCTTTCGCAAAATTAATCCGATAAAATTATGTAATTTCGCCACAAAAAAATATAAGCTACGATAACGCAAGAGAAAAAAAATATGTAGATCTTTATCGCTCGGGACGCGGGTCATTGCGTTCGCATAAAACACAAGAAGCAACAAGAGAGAAAGAGAGAAAGAGACGAAGAGACAAAGGGATGAAGCGAGAGACAAACGCGAGAAGAGAAAGAGAGAAATAGAGCTCGCGGCGAAGGACGAAGAGATTCACAAAGCGAAGAGACGAGGCCGCGCCGCGGTACGCGAGTGCAGGAGGAAAAGAGAGGGGAGAGACGGAGACCCGCGGACTCGACAGAGCGCGAGATCAGAATAGCGCGCGTTGCGCCTGTAGGCGGGGCGGGGCGGGGGGGGGAGGGGAAGGAGAGGTATGACGCTCGCGCGGGGCGCGCCGTGACGCCATGACGTATCGACCGCGCTCGCCACGCGCGCTGACGTCACGATCACGGCCCGAGTCAGACCGGGAGCACGTGAACAGCACGCCGGCGATCACGCGGCCGCGAGCTGACCGGGCGGCGCCGATTGGCCGGCCGCCGGCGAGCCCCTCGCCGCGATTGGCCGCGCCCGCGCGCGCCGCGTGATCGCGGCGCGCACACGCGCAACGGGCGCGTCCCAGGCGCGCCGACCTGAGGCCTGAGGGAGCCTCATTGCGCCGTGAGACGCCCGTACGTTCGCGCGCACGAAGCTCCGTCTCTCGCATCAGCTTCGCTCGAGGAGAGGGCTCGGCTCGGCGGCGCGCGCGCGCGCGCGAGAGAGAGCGAGAGAGCGTATACTTTGTTTTCCTTCTCGCTTTCTTCTTTTTCTCGCATTGTTTCGTTTCGCCTCGACGCTCCGTGGGAGCAGTGCCCCGCTCCCGTTTCTTTTTTATCCGACGGAGCCGTTCCACCGTGTTCATCGTTCCTGCGCGAATATGGATACGAATCAGGCGCCTCTTTCCCCGCCAGCCTCGCCCCAGCTGAAACATGTAAGTGGCAGCGAATTAAATGTACCGCCATAACGGCGCCCGCCGTCGCCCGCGAAACTCGAATGCGCAACGTGAGTGCGTTCTCACGAGATTCCCGGAGCGAACTAAACGTAAAATACAAGGGACAAACTGAACATTCGTACCAGGGGGTCAATTCTGTGTCTTACACCGCAGTGAAAATGCCTAAAAGTGGGTAGCTTTGTCCTCGGTGTTTTTCCCCCGCGACAGCGAGTCGTCTGTACCCAGTCAGAAATGACTCGAAAACCGACGTCGAAACAATATCGAATCGATGCATTTTTGGCATCGATTTGGCTCGAAAATGGAACCAAAAATGCATCGATTCGATATTGTTTCGACGTCGGTTTTCGAGTCATTTCTGATTGAGTATTTGTAGCAAAGTGGTAATTTCTTTACTTATGACGTCGAGAGTAAAGGCGGCGGGTTTTTATACCCTTCCACGTTCTGAATTTATATCGCGCGTTGATTTAAACTTGATTTTAATATTCCGTTGGGTACTAAATTACAATTTTACTAGAGCTTAGTCCTGAGCCGTCCGGAGAAGAAATTTTCTGACGGTCGGCGACGGGATTGCCGACGTTTCTCCGCAGAAACCAAAGACGGCGTGACGAAAGAAAACATAAGACACAAGGGACAAACTGAACATTCATACCAGAGGGTCAATTCTGTCTTGCACTGCAGTGAAAGTGCCAAAAGTGGGTAGCTCTTGTCCCAACTGTCCCCTCGGAAAGAGACAAAGCCGCTCACTTTTAAGCCTAATCTACAGTGTGCTCTTTGCGTCTAGAAATGTTCTATTTTGTAGTCAATAAATACGTGTGAAAAATTTGCGCAAGTCGATATTATAAATGGTATATCATACACTGTACAATCGTGCGTTGTCGGCAAATTTTTTAAGCGTTTCTATTTGTTTCTATAAAATAGCAAGTTTCTAGGTGTAGAGGGCGCATTGTAGATTAGGCTTCAGCATTTTCACTCTGTTAGATACAGAACTGACCGCCAGGAATTCGATGTTTATCAATGAACAATCTGTCGGAAGCAGATGCATATCTGTACAGTGATGGACAGAATGGCCGCGACACTTTTTTTAATGAGTTTAGGAACGCGCGTTTAGATTCGGGTTTACGTTCCGAAACATTTTCTCCGAAGAAAATTTTACCCGAGAAATAGATGGGAAACGCTCGAAATGGCTTCGGCGTCACCATCGGGTAAAATATTCCTCGGAGAGGAAGATTTTGGAACGTGACCCTGAATCTAAATGCACGTCCCTAAACTCATTAAAAAAAAGTGTTGCAACCATTTTGTCCACTGCACATAATTTTTTATAACCACGATTATCTCTCAGAGGACGAGAAGAATAGCATTTTTCTGCCCATCTATCTTTGCCCTTCGATTATATTATTTGGTCGTTGATGATTTCGCGCCGGAAACATATTATCTGTTCCTTATATTTTAATATCCCGTCGTCCCGGGCTAATTTCACTCGGAGGGCATTTAACACAATGGTCTCGCCTGGCGAAGTCGCGCGCTCACGCCTTCCTTTCGTCCCGCAGATGGAACCGCAGATGCAGATGCTGTCGTTCAGCGTCGCGGCCCTGCTGGGGGAGAAGCTCTTGGAGAGCCGGTCGGCCCAAGCCAAGTCCGAACGGAAGGACGAAGAGGACGCGGGCACCCGGCGGCCCGTTCTACCGCCCACCCCGCAGCCCTCCGACTCGGAGGAGGACGAGCCACCTCGGAAGCGGCGGTGCGTCGAGCAATGCGAGCTGGCGAAGGTGAATAAAGCGGGCGGCCTTATCGACATTTCGCAACGTTTGCCTCTCCGGCGCCCTTTCTCCCTTTATTCCTCCTCACGATTTTTTTCGCTTTCAGTCGACTCGAACGCAGCCGTTGCGACGCGTGTCCTCTTGTCTGATGAGAACGACTTGTAAACGCTGAAGGGTCTGAGCAGAGAGATTGTCGTAACCGTTTACGTTTCTGTCGTAAGGGCAGCTGTCAGATTTGTCGTACGACAAATGTAATAGCAGCCTAAGTCGGAAGTCGACGCACGAAGGATGGTCGTAGACGATTGCGATGCAACGTACGCGACATACGTCTACGACAATTCTTTGCGCGTTGACTCCCGGCATCGACTCAAGTCTTACGACGGGGACGTAAACGACTGCGACAATTTTTTCTGCTCAAGGCCTAAGACTGTCTTACGCGGCGTCTACAATGAGACGCACAATGAGATTTCAGAACAATAAAAGTCTTTCTTCTTGTTGCCAGCAATATTCCAATAGAAGAGATAAAAATGCTATGTTGTACGTTGACCAAACTGGCAATATACTTATTTATCTACAACGTTTCGGCTCCGTTTCGAGCCCTTCCCAATAGAATCTTATTACTTAGTAGCGGAAACGTGGTGTATCACGTAAGATGTGGCCGCGAGACTAAAGTGTAATTTAACGAGACTAAAAGTGTAAAGTGTGAGATTTAAGAAATCAATCAATCGGTCGGATGTGAGGCGAATACTCGACTGTAATTGGCCAATTTCCTAAATCTTACGTCTTGAAATTTCATTGTAGACACCGCGTAAGGGCCTGAGCAGAATGGCTGTCCACAAAGCTGGAAACACACGAAGAAACTTAAGCAGTGAGACTTGACACTTAACAAGTTCCACCAATCGAAATTTTCAGCATTGCTTAAGTTTCAAAATGGCTGCTCGCGTTCTCGACAGCCATTCTGCTCAGGCCCTAGGTCGTAGACGTAAGGCAAGGCAGAGAGAAACGTGAGTCGCGAAAGTCTATTGTACACGACTTACGTTTTATCCTTCGAGTAGCGAGGCGTACCTCCCGACGATACACTCGAAAACGCTGGCTGCTATATCGGTCCTCCATTGATAACTGGCTCGCGATATTGTTGCGAACCGATAAGACGAATTTGCGGCACTGGCCGGCGCGTAGCTTCAAATTATTTCTTCTGCATCGTCCGTTGATTGATGCGCCGCGGAATGTTTCAAATTTGCCCCGTTTTCAAATTGGACATCGAGACACGCGATATTCACGCGTCTGCCTGAACGGACCACGATCTGTGGTTCTCTCGTCGAGCGCGAAGAAATGCATCTTCGCACATGTACTTGAGGCGTGAACATTGGCGAACTCGCCCGTATTCGAGTACAAAGTAGCTTCTTGTCGTTTCAGCTGCTGCTAGATGGCACGCCGCCACCGAGCCCAGAGCCAGCCCGGGTTTCGGTGATAATGCGCGCTAATCGAGACGGCACCTGCAGTCCGGCCAATCTCGCTGGGTGCCCGGCGACCAGCAGCGGTCAACCGGTACCACGCGATTCGCCCGCGCGACAGTCGCCCAGTCCGCGGGCGAACGCGCGAGCGAGCGTAACGGGACCGGTGGAGGAGGACGTGCTACGCAGCCTCAAGTTCAAGATGAGCTTGCGCAAGGAGGAGATCATTGTCAACAGCAAGAATACCGATCGCGAGAGCTGCCAGCAGCAGCAACTGCAACAGCAACAACTACCACAGTATCAGCATCAGCAACAAGTACCGAGATTGCAACCCCTGGCTCCGAAACCCACGTCCATCGTGGTCGCGGGTCTGCTGAGCTCACCCCTGGTCTTGCCGCGCACTCCCCTTCTGCTGGTCGCCAGCGCGGCGCCGACGAGCGTGACGAGCGCGGTCACCACGACGACGAGCATGGGCGCCGCGGAGACGCGGCGACGCGTCTACGAGTGCGAGCACCCGGGCTGCGGCAAGAACTACTTCAAGTCGTCGCACCTTAAGGCCCACACGCGCACCCACACCGGCGAGCGGCCGTTCCCGTGCCCGTTCGACGACTGCAGCCGCCGCTTCTCGCGCAGCGACGAGCTCTCGCGGCACAAGCGCACGCACACCGGCGAGAAGAAGTTCGCCTGCGCCGTCTGCCAGAGGCGATTCATGAGGAGCGATCACCTCGCGAAGCACGTGAAGCGTCACACCAGGGACAAGTCGTCCGCCTCCGTTGCCGCTGCCGCCGCCTCTTCGTCCTCGAGCGGTCAGATCGTCGCCACCCAGATGGCCCCGGCGCCGCTGAGGGTGAGCCTGCTGCCGGTACTGGCGCCGCGACTCGCGCGACCCATTCACCAATTGGTGCCGCCTCAGCTGGCGGCTTGAGGCACGCGCCCGCGATTACCCAAGTCGCTCAAAAGCTTTGCGCTCCCCTCTGTGTGCCTTAATTAGACCCAGATTGGATCGGCTTGCTCTTGGCACGTCGATGATGAAGAGCACTGCTGTGAGGGAAACTGGTCTCGACTGAGAGAGAACGTTGAAGACGAGAATTGAACCCGATGCTTTAATTGGGATAAAAATGGAATCTAAGAAAGGTGAAGAGTTTGATTCATTCTGATGTAGCGGAAACACGATAGCAGGTGTTGATCTATTAATCTGGTCAATTGGACGAAGAGAGTTTCGATGTTTCGAGATGGGATTGCCATCTTGAGAGAAAATGGAGCGAGTCGAGCGAAGCAGGGAGGAAGGCAGAGCTAGCCTGTTAAAAGGGGTGTGGCAAAGACACGAGGCGACGATTGGTCCAGCCATCGCAAGTCAAGGGACTCTGTCGTCGTCAGCAAACCGAGTACATAAATGTGTCTGTGATGTTGTGACACGTGAGGACTTCAGTGTGTCGTTCACTCGAGAGTTCTGCTATCTCATGGGCCGCACTGCGAAGACTCGGACTCTCGCATTCGCAGCGTATGTGCACTCGTCAGCACCTAAAATACGGCCGCGCGCTCTTCAGTTTCGGAACGGATGTGATCGGCGCGTTAAACGGATCGCGAACACTTGACGCGGGGATGAGAGCGAACTGAAGATTCCCAAGGGTATCGTTTAAGATCGCTCGATTCCTCGCTGGTCGGAGATTCTCTGCAGACAACGCAGAAATCTAGGAGCTATTCGAAGGATTGTTCTTTCAGCTTGTTTTAGATCTTTCTATTGTTTAGCTTACCGCTGACTGGAGCTAAACGCAGCTGCTTAGCATTTAGCTTGGAGCGCGTTGACCGAGGAACGGAGAGAAAGAATATTTATTTATGAGGAGACAAGACATTTATCGATTTATGTATATAACGGTTGTGTACAGGCTTCTAAGATTACGATCGCGTTAACTAGACCAAGTTGTACATATTGAATATGGATAACGTGGAAGCGGATGCGATAAAAACTTGGCGGAGATCGTCATCGACTCTGTTGATTTTTCAAAGTCTAACCGTTTACTGTTTTGCTTGTATCCTTCAGCTGTCTGAAATATCTCCCTCCTTTCCAGAGTTCATTTCGCGTTTGACGCAATTCAAGGGAGAGATTGCGATTGCTGTAACTTGTAAAATATTGCATCCGCTCCTCGGATCGCGAAGTGTATATATTGTATTTGTATCACAGTCAGGTGGAGTAAACCCTCACACTTGGCGGCATAAGACTTCAGTGTATCGTTAAACTGTATAAAAGTTTTTCTACAACTAAATAAATTGTATACTTTCGTAAATCACTACGGGTAAATATTACTCGGCCTCTCCTTCCTTCCGACTTCCTTCGCGAGTCAAATTGATGTTTAAATCGCGTCATCTAATTGTCTTACGGGTGTCGGTATAAACCAGTTTGAGTAAAAAATTCTTTTCATCTGAAGCCTCGAAACTCGCGCCGTTATTTTAACAATCGTGAAGACTTGCTCTACAAACGCCTGAGGAAGCCCCGAACTCTTAAATCTTGGATCGGCTGATGGCAGAGAACGTTCCGTAAACGCTTAAGTCTACTTAGTCGTGGACGTAAGGAAAGGCAGGGACAAACGTGAGTCGTGAAAGTCTATTGTATACGACTGAAGTTCTTCTCCGCCTTGCCTTACGTCTACGACCGAGACAGACGTTAAGCGTTTACGGATCGTTCTCTGCCATCAGCCATCCTCGCGTCCCAGTGAGAAATGATTCGTCGAAACGACGATTCGACATCAGTTTCACGGCGTCGATGTCGATTGTTCGCGCGTCATACATTTAATTCGCAAGAAGTGAATATATCCGCGACGTCTTCACGGTTAAAAAATCGAACCTACGAGAATTGCGTGCGGGGTTTCAGACGTATTCGCGGGAGAATTCGACGCGAAGTTGGTGCTTTTCTCCACAACTCGGGGAAGAGGGTCGCGTGCTTGGTTTTTTTTTTTTGTTAAACGGAAGAGCGAATCTTTTTCCGCGTAGAAGCCGCGCAGAAATTCCGTGAGGAAGGTCACGGCTCTCGAAAGTGACCAAGTGATAACGACGCGGTGGAAATGCACCGCATGCAGTACGAGAGGAATGATGACGTCGTGTCGCGACGCGCCTCTCGAGAGAAGGCGTATTACGTCGCGCTCGAGAGGCGCGTGCTCTCAGGGACACGCAGGCGCCCACGTGAACGCGAGATGCTCGATATAGGCTCGCCGTGCCGATAAGACATGCAACTTGCGCTCCCGTGAAACAAAACCGGGCGGCGAAACGGTGGTTTCGAGGAATTCGATTCGCACCGGACCTACCGCTGCGAACGCTACCGCGAGATATATCGGATGATTAATGTATAGGAACGTCGAGACGAACAATTGTCTCGCATGCATGGTCTTTGATAAGTATTTGACGCGGCGAATTGGAATGCTGGATGACGTTCTGGCGTTACAGATAAAACACGAATAACAATGGCCAGTGCTTGACGAATTGGCATCTAATGTAGAATAGATCGATTCGTAAAGAAATCGCTGTGTTCGCTGAAAATTTCAATTGTCAGTTACATTCTTTCGAAATGGAGAGCTCGGCAATTTGTTGCGAAATACACAGCGGTAATGAGAACAAAGCGAGATATCTGTGTTAACCCAGATAGCACGAGACACTCCCATGAACATTTTAAGAATATTTGGAATATTCCATGGGTCATTCTTAGAGAGGGAAGCCCCCTATTATGAGATAGGATCCTAATATGGGATGGCGGAGTTTCTGCTAAATTAATAGGCATTATCGGTTGATTCCGCCGCGAATTTATTGGCCTTGGAAGCGAAATCTGTTTAGTAGAAAATTCATTGTTAGTTGAATTTGAGTGTTGAAAACCTGCTATCTCATATCAGAAACCTATCTCATAATAGAGGACTTTCCTCAACATTTATCTTATGTTCGTAGAACATTCGATTGGCTGCACTACTTAAATCTTTTTCGAATGTGAATAGAATAATCAAACGCAAGTTGTAAGATGGACACCTTTTCTTATTTTGCCAATATTGGTCTAATATTGATGCTATATTAGACCAATATTGTTATTACATTGTTAAATATTGGCCAGTGCACTTTCAATATAAATCTAATATTATATAATTATTATCGTGCAATATTTACAATTATTTCATGGCCAATATTTAGGCTTTACGTTGGACAATATCGGCCAATGCATTTCTAATATAACCAATATTGGACCAATATTTAGCCAATGCACTGTGCTAGAGTACGATTTCTAATTGTAATAATCTATAGTAATAATTTATAGAATATTTGATTCGAATATTCGGAAATTAGGAATTTTTACACTCCAGAAGAATATTCAGAGAACTAGGTGTGCTATCTGGGAAGGAAGATTCTTATAAAATTTATTTGACGCACAAGGAAATACGTTGATTAGAGCTTTGTCACTTATGCGGATCGGTTTTTGCCGGCATACAAACGCGATTCGCTGAAATTGTTGTGGATTAATACAGCTGCCTGGTATCAAGATATGATCGTAGCAATAATAAGATGGTCTACATTTTACGCGGACGGAATTTCCATCGAAACAATTAGGCTTATTTTCCAGAAAATTTCCATTACGCATATCACGTGAACGCGCGTGACTGGTTTAGATATTTGCGATAGCGTCTCTTTTACCGATAACAATCAATTAACCGCATTATCATTTGCGTTGCCAATATGCCGACTCATATTAGGAAACTCGTGCTGGTGCGCACCGGTAGTCTCATCTTGATTGTGTAATCTCAGTTTATCTTATCGTCGTATTTCCGCACGAACGATGGAAATACACGATTTCTATTGAGTAACTTGTACTAATTATATCTTAATAGGCAGATTATATAACATTTAACATGCGTATACGCCACTTGCTGAGTGTGCACAGTAAAAAATGAAACGTTAATGTTAACACTTTTCACATGTCCCAAAAAGTCCACTCTAAATTTTAAGTTAAAATAACATTCATCGCGTGTGTCACTTTTTGAAAAATAAGAAATGTTAATTAATTAACGCTATACTTCACATTATATTTATGTTCTTTTAATCATAAGTGCGATGCAATAAAAACAAACAGGAGAAGTAAACTGTACGAATGTTACAAAGTAGAATAGTTGAAATAATTTTTAAGAAATGTCGATATTACATGTTTTGGTTGATTTTGTGAAATAGTTGTGTTAAAAGAGCTCAAAATGATATTCAATTTTTCAATGACGTACGTAAAGTGTCAGGTTATTATGTTAACATAAATATAATTTATATAAATGTTACGAAAATAATAATATATCGGTTTTATGTTAATTTTATATTAAAATAATGATCAAGAGTCTTGGTAACGCAAGAAAATTTTTAACATTTTAACACACGATTTTTTACTGTGCATTGGCGACATTAAGGCCTGGTTTCACCAACGTTGTTTAACTGTAAGCTTAGAATAGATACACTTCGCAAAATGTCATTGCCGACGTCACAATGCGATAAAGCCATGAGATTGGAATCGCCAGGGCACGAGTTAAAAGTTGACGCGAAGATCGCGAAATTTTATTTGTACAATTCCACGTGTGCATTATCGCACTTCGCCAGACGTATTTTGCGAGTTCGCCGACATCGATAAGATTCTTACCGAAAACAATATTGGCGAAGGATTTGTCTCTGATGCAAACATATACGCAGTTATAAAAATAACAAGCTGAATCACGCGACGATACTTGAAAAGCAAAAGCACATAGTGCATACTTTAATTTTTTCAAATATGCCCTAGTAGCACAATATATTGGCGCAATATTAGGAGATAAAATGTAAATCTAGTATTCCCAATATTGGTCCAATATTAAAGATGGACCCCTTCTCTTATTTAGCCAATTTGTCTATTTAGCAATTATTTGCCAGTTGTGCTAGTTATTAAATTTCTATACAAATTAATTAGAATTAAGAATACATTTTTGATTCGTAGAATATTTTATCATCAATAGTTTCAATAGAATTTTCGGGACTTCCTTCAGAACGCGACGCTACACTGTTCTAGGCGGCTAAATCTGAAATGGCTTTCACAAAATGGCTTCCAGGATGCTTTCGATAGTTTACCGAAAAGTGGGCAGTTATTACTTGCCCACATACAGATCATAAAATATAATTTATCTATCTAATAATAGGAGACCTTCCTCTAATATTCTCTTTGCGTTTCGACAGAGCTGCGAGATCAAGAAGAGACCTAACGTCCTAGAAACAGAGGCAAAGTCCCGAAGGTGATCACGCCCGTGCGACGATTACAAGCGTATCTCGCGTGAATCTCGGTCACCGAATTTCTGCCAGACGCACGTTATCTGCAACGAGGCTTTATTTTTCTTATCACGTGGTGTCATCTAAACATGTTTCACGTGCACGCGCCGTCGAGACGTTCCTTATCGCGGACGCGATTCTTATTGGGACGCGTTTGATAATTGGCGTCGGGACGTGAGAGGACAGAACATGCCGCGTTTAACATTCCGCGTAGAAGGCGACCCGGTCACCTCTCGCGGGCTTTTCCGGGCCGGTGTGCCAGAAAACAGGACGAGCAAAAATAACGCCCGTCATCGTCGTCGCGCGTAACGGCTCTCGCGAAATTCCCGATTTTCTTGCGTCAGCCAAGGACTCGGTCTCATTGAGTCGACGTTTAATGTCACAAACAGGTGTGCTGGGACCGGTAGATGACGCAAAATATCGTCGCGATTACCCTTCGCGCTCGCCTTCATTGAAATTCGTCTGGAGACGAGAGAACCCGGCGCGCGTGCACGGGCCGATTCTCCGCCAGACGGAACGCAAACACCCGCGGCGGAGTCGCGAATTTTCGCGAAGGAGGATTTTCGAACGAGGTCGCTAACCGGCGCGCGGCGGGCCTCGCGCGCGCTCCACATGCGTTACGCTGCGTTATTTGACCGCTAAGACAAATTTGCAGCGTGGCATTTTGTTGGCAAATTATATTTAAAAAAAATGTATATTTAATTCTAAATAAATAAATTAGAAATAGAGAGACTCAAACGCAGGGTTGGGAAAGTGACTTTATAGAAGTAGTCACCGTTACCGTTTTTTCGCTAAAGATGTAACTATAGTTATGCAGTTACAAGTTACCAATTCTGTGAAGTAACGCGTCACGGTTACAGTTACTCAAAAAGTAAGGAATCGTTACATTGCAGTTACTTTCTTGCGATGAAAATAAAAATATCGAATCTGCATTTGAATTGTAAAGCGTCGATAAAGGCGTTTACGCGCAAATGCAAGGCCTAATGCGATCTGTGGAGGTTTAAAAAATATATAAAGTAACTATTAATGTAACTATTAAATTTAGTTACTCGTTATCGAAAAAAATGTAACTGAGTTAAGTTACAGTTACAGACGGAGGGAACGTCGATCGACGAATCATTTCTCACTGGGACAGTTAACTTGGAGTTACAAAAAAAGGAACTGTAACTGTAACTTAAAACGAGTTACTTTTCAACGCAACTCAAACGATTAGTCAATCAATCGACAAGAAAGAGGATTCAGAGCCGCTACAGGGTTTCTATATCCCGGTAAAAAATTAGCCGCAAAAGAAATCATTGACATTCCATTTAAAAAAAAAGGAGATTAATTGTTAAATCTCCGACACGTTTTCACCTACAGAAAAGATGTGGACCATTAACGATCACCTGCGTGTACTTGAGTAAATGTTCCACCCTGTGTAATCATAAATATGACAACGAATCTGTCTAGTAGAAATTGTCTTTTGAATTAAATCATATGTAATTTATGAACATTACTTAATTACTTAATTTACGAAACCATTTAGTGTTATAAATTTTTGCGGCACAAAAGATTGTGGAACTCTATTAAAGGTGATTTAGAAACGAGGAAATTGATAGACGTAAAGCATATATCTAATGTACGTTGCTCCAGAATCGACTGGAAGAAATGATATCGGCGCAAACAAGAGTGCAACATCTCTCGACTGTTGCATCAAGCTAAACATTTCCATTTCTTTATTGCGTCTGAATGCGGAGAGTAATATTAATTATCAGACTGGTTTATTAGGTTTTTTTAAATAAAATCGGAGCATTCCATCATCAACGAATGATTTTTTGCTTATACTGTAATCATAACTAGTTCAAAGAAACGTTTTAAGTCAACGGAATTTTCAATATGAGTCATAATTGGGCGTAGAAGGAATATCGAAGAATGCTAAACTCTTCTGACTCTTCACTCAACAACATATGCATATTTCACGAAGTTAATAAACAAATTGAAGACTGAGAGTATGGAAACAGCTCAGTATAGAAACTCTTTATTTCTGATAAGTTTTGCAAAAATAGATGTACAATTGTTACGTATGCTTCGCCTAACTTACAACAGGTGTTATAAAGGAATTTGTATAGATATCAAACATTTGCAGCATATAAAATTCTCTGAAATTAATAAATGCACGAGTCTATCTACAATGTTCGCGAAAAGTCGTTGGGCGCAGGACGTGAAATACCAAGTCCAAAAATATATGGTATTCTAGTTGTTGCGACAGCCTCGGCGCATTATGCGTGACACGCATTATAGCCCCTCCCATTTAATCCGCACACGTGGAATCGCGTCATACTACATCTCGCTTCTGAACAAGATTGTGCCAAGTACAGTCAAAGCTGCATTCCTTCTAATATCTTTGTCTGATAATGTATTGCTTTCCCCGTTGAAAAACATTAATCAGAAATAATATTGTTAAGAAATTAACATTATCAAGTAGGACAATGCAAATGGCCATTTCGGTGAAAATTCCAAATCGTTAATACTCTTGATAATTTCTTCTCGTTGAAACCTTTAAATCTCACAATTTAACAGCTTTAAATTGATTTTATAATCATATTCCGATATTATCCGATGTTTAGTATTCAGGTAGAAAAAATTCGATGAAAATATACATCTATCAGAATTAAAAATATTCAACCAGGTCTGAAAGACCCAGTGTGATGCGCTCTATAAAAAAATATGAGTATAGTTCTGCGACTAAATCTATATATATATAAATCCTATATCTATATATATAAATCCTATATATATAAATTCGTTCACATATCGTTTATAGTTTATGCTATAATAGTTAATAAGGTGTCTAACAACGGGTGTTATTTGATCATTAAAAAAAAAATGATAAACATTCTTTCGACTAGCTTTTCAACGAAATGAATTTGCACGCACGAGATATAACGAATGCGAACTCCAAGTTGAGTTGCAGGATAACAAAGGGCTTAATCTATGCACCTGTTTCACAGATGCATTTTTTTCTTTCTGAGCCTGAAACGAATGAATATAATACAGCTCTCGGATGAACATTAATCAACGTGAAGATATGCCGATAATGGATCCCTATCGAACTTCTATTTCGGGTGGAATTTTCGCGTAGAATCGGTCGCCATATCACGCAGTAATTGGCATGGTCTGTAAGTTTCACCGTAATGACTCTGGAATTCCTCCATTTTCTTAACGAGTCGATGGGCGCCGTACGAGTCTACCCAACGGAATGGACCACCCGAGAATGGTGGGAAGCCCAAGCCAAACACAGCTCCTATGTTGCCCTCCACCTAAAATATAAACATTAAAAAATAACGCAATGAAGAGTACAGCAAAAAGGAAATATTTACAATTATCTGATTTAAATAAGAAGAAAGAATCTCATTGGTTTCTTTTGATATTGAGTAAAAGTTCCTGTTTTTGAAAATAACAAAAAGGAATCCATTTAACATTTGACATTATTAGTCAAATTAAAAGTCAATGTAATTCCAATAAATAAAGTATTATAAGTGTAAAACGAGTAGCAGTTCAACAAACTTGTGTTTAAAAACTTTTTTATTTATTAAAATTATTTCGTTATCCATTAAATGAAAGTAAGGTTTTCTTTGAGACCGATGATTATTGTTATCTCGAGTAATTATTATATTGTTTCTTTAGATAAAATATTATCTATAATTTATATATACATAGATAGAAATTTAGTATAAAATATTATCTCAAGTTTTATCATTCTTATTGTTCAATAATTTGTTAGAGGTAACAGATAAGTATGAAATGTGTTAACTTACGGGATTAGCTAGAATATTTTCTTCCAAGCACATTACCGCTTCGTTAATGAACCGCGTGACCAACCTCATTTGACGGTCCTCGTCAGACGTGCTTCCCTTAGGCTCGATACTATACTTTTTCATAATGTCCAACGCACCGACATTTACGTCTCTGTTCTTGGAGCTGGTTTCGTACACGAATATACCTTTGCCGGATTTGCGTCCTAAAATTTTAATTTTGATTTTAGTATACGCCACATATACGCGCCGCACCGTTCATACCTTGGCAGGGGGCCCAACATAAACAAATGTGTAATATTTAGCATGGTGTTCACATTATTTTGTCCACCCCCTGTATATATGTATCTCATTCCTTCTATTATTATCAATTAACTATATAGATTTTTCTATCCTCAAGGAACGCGTGCAAAACGGTTTTTCTATTGTATTTTTGAAAGTTTTCTTTGCGTTACGATAAACCCTTACCGAGGAAACCAGCTTTGACCATGTCGCCGAGAATATTTATGTCTCCTCCCTTAAAACGATCGCCGTAAGCCTTCTGAAGATCGACGCTGATGTGAGCACCCACATCGATGCCGACCTCGTCGGACAATGTGGCTGGGCCGACAGGGAAGCCGAATGTCTTTGTTAGTTTATCCAGATGCACTGGATCCACGCCTTCCTGTTTAAGAGATTGCATTGTATTTATATTTGCAATTTGAGATTGAAACGATCAATGTCTACATGGCTGTAATACTGCAAAATAAGGCCATCGATCGCTTTAATAAATGTAACGATCAATTCTAAGTACTTTAAATAGTTAAGAGCGATATCGTTTATTTTTCGCAAAAGAAATAGCTGCTATAGTATTTACCTGCATTAGCCTAACCGCTTCCGACAACATGGTAGAAAGTATTCTCGTGGTGTAAAATCCAGGACAATCACCAACTGTGATGACGATCTTGCCCTGCTTCAAACCGACATCCACAGCGGTCTTGATGGTCTCTTCGGATGTTGCTTTGTGCGTTATAATTTCCAGCAGCTCCATTTTGTCGACAGGAGAGAAGTAGTGCATACCGATCACCTGTAAAAAAATATGCCTTGAAAAATTCATCCATCCATTTGCCTATTTACAATACAATTTAAAAAAAATTTTTTAAAGTGGTATTAAATTAACCTACGTGCGTACAGTTTTAAAATTACAATTAATTGAAAAATTTTAATTAAATAATTCTTATAATTACAAATAATTTACATTAAAATAATATTTCTTAACACCACTGTACTTTAGAATATTAAACATTAATATTGACTTTACTTTATCAGGACGACTGCTGCCAGCTGCGATTTTCGTGATAGGAATAGCGGAGGTATTGGTTGCAATGACACAGTGATTCGGCGCCACGGCTTCAATTTCTTTCAGAACCTTGTGCTTGATGCCGATGTCCTCAAAGACGGCCTCGATCACTATGTCTGCGTCCTTGAAGGAGTCGTAATTTAACGTCGAGCCGAGATGAGACAAATACTTGTCCTTTTGGATACTGTGTAGAAAATTTTCGTTAAAAAAATCTATCTTTTTACGCGTGGCTTCTTTTTTTTCTTAACAGAAGAGACGCGAACCTGGAGATCCGTTTACGCTTCACAGCGCGATCCAGGCCTTTCTGAATCTGATTCATGCCGCGATACAGTCCGGTCTCGCTGGTATCCTTCATAACGACGTCGAAGCCTTTGTCGATACTGACCTGGACGATGCCCGCCCCCATCAAACCGGCGCCAAGGACCGCAATTTTTCTGCGCGCACATTGAATCGTAATAGAAAAATATCGACGATTGTTCAGATTTATCGAAATACATACTTGACTGCACTCTTGGGCGGGCCAAAGCGATTTTTCTTGCACGCCGTCATGCCGAAGAATAAATTGGTAAGGCCTTTACACTCCGGCGTAGCCGTCAGCTGACCGAATCCCTTGGCCTCGGCATCAAATCCGGCAACAGGACCCTTGTCCAGGCCTACCCTTACCACTTCTAGAATTTTAAGCGGAGCTGGATACAGGCCATTCGTCATTTTCATCACCTGGGCCTTTGCTTTCTTGAACACTTGATCCTTAACGAAGTCGATAGATAGAAGCTGCTGCATTATCTTGTCTACGAGAGACTTCGGACCGCGCTGGATCTTTATCCTTCCGTTTGCGAGATCCTGCGCAGTCTTCACCGCGGTTTCCTCCAGGTATTTTAGCGTACTGGAAAATGCGACTGGATTTTTAAGTATGCGGTAATGTTTGCGGTATAGATGCACAGCGATATTAAGACTCTACTCTAACGAAAGAGATATTATATATACAATAATTAGCAGAAAGGCGAGACGTATCCTCTGAAGGGTTCGTAAACACATATGTAAAATAACAGAAGATATAAATTCAGATATACAAATTATTGCAAGCAAAGAAATTATCGTTAATTAAATAGTCCCCAGTGAACATCAAGTAATAGTTACATAAATGAGACTAATTTATGAAGTTACATAACGTAAATATTATAATTCCCTACTTACCAATGTAAATGTAACATTACATGGGTATTATATTATACATTTATCTTGTTGAGTAGGAAATTATAATATTAATTTTATGTAACTGTTACTTGTGGTGTTTTCTGGGACGTTACGGCACAAACGACTTAAAATCATTGAAGTTTCTTAGCAATTAGCGCAAAAACTAAAGTGCATTCAGTTGGAAGCGCGCGTTTTATTTGTATATTTTTACTTGTCTTTAGGCGATCCGATTCCCGGTCCAAGGTGGTTCACCACGATATCCACTAGTCCAAGTTTCTTCGCTTTGTCGGGATTAATATTTCTACCTGTGAGCATCATATCTAGAGCAGTGGCAAGGGGAACCATCTGGGGCAGGCGTTGAGTGCCGCCGCCACCAGGAAGGAGACCGAGTTTCACTTCCGGGGTTCCCAATTTGGTTTGCTTGTCGTTGACGGCGAGTCTGTACTGGCACGCTAATGCAACCTGTGCAAAATAATCAACGTAATAATCAATAGGTAGTTCCGTTGTTTTATCTCCCCATCTAAGCTGAACGCCTTGTAATTTATTTTGATTGTTAAGGCTACCACCGAGTTTACAAGAGGATTCGATTGAATTCCCTTCATCAATCTTTCCATCTCTCTCATTAACTCCTTGTTTAAGCTGTTTATCTATATCAACATAATTATAATTAAAACGAAGGCCTGTATTACGTTACCTCTAATCCTCCACCGAGACATGAGCCGTGAATAGCAGCAACAATTGGCTTCGTACTATTCGCTATCATATCCAGAATTCTGTGGCCCTCTTTCGCTACTTGATAACCAGCTTCTGCATCGGGAAGAGATTGTAGCATGGTAATATCTGCGCCGACTATAAAATTGTCTGGTTTTCCGCTAATAATAACTACTGAGTTTACAAGAGAATTCGATTGTATTTCCCTCATCAATCCTTCCATCTCTCCCATCAGCTCCTTGTTTAAGCTGTTTATCTACGGCAACATAATTAAAATGAAGATCCATTGACTGACTCTGGTCTCCCTTTTCAATTTTAAAGTGAATTTTATCGTTACATTGAATCATGTATAGACTATAAATACACATATACATAAAATTATATACTACAATGTATTACTTTGACATTCGGCGAATCTATGGTGATGACTGCTACATCGCCAACGGTTTTGCATTTTAAGTGTTTCCTATTTGCTTCGGTTACTAATGTTCTTATCGATTGTTGCAAACCTAGAAATACAAAAATGCGACACGTAAGCAATTAAATATAACAGCGACTGTAAAAAAAATTACTGCCAACATTCTTTTCTGAGATATTATCAGGGTCGGCAAGTAACTCGTTATTGTAACTTAACTCGGTTACATTTTTTTTTATGACTAGTAACTAATTTAATTAGTTACATTATATATTTTTTAAAACTCCACAGATCGCATTGGCCTCGCATTTGCGCATAAACGCCTTTATCGACGCTTTACAAGTCAAATGCAGATTTGATAATTTTATTTTTATTGCAATAAAGTAACTGCAAAGTATCGATCCGTTTACTTTTTGAGCAACTGTAACTGGTTACATTTTTAGCGAAAAAAAAACTAACTGAAACTAGACAGTTTTATAAAGTAACTTTCCCAACCCCGGATATTATATAATCAAATGAGGCAGTTTTATTGTAATAAAAAATTAAAATTTCGTTAACCAAGTACTTTATATTTTGCGTCGGTGGTCAGATGGACAGATTTGAAGAAAGTAGAATAAACAAAACAAATTACGTAATCTCTCATTATCTGCACATTCAGATCGCAATATCTACACTTTTGTATACTTTGTCTCTCGTTATACATATCTGAAGTTTGTTTCATTTGAGATGTACGAAGCACCCTCGGAATTTTCCGGTCGAACGACCCGAGCACCGAAAGCTCCAATTTCAGGCTCGGACGCGAGCATCGATCTACAGTTCAATTCGAATGTGAATTCGTGTGAAAATGAAATTGGACGAATTGACTCGTCAGGCGATGTCGAATCGTTTCGACGAATTATCTTTCACTAGGCCATGCAGATGAACTGTAGTCTCGGTTTAAACAAGTCCTCTTTCTAATTCGTAAAACTAGAAAAAGGTACCGAAAGGTACTATACAGCTGGTAAAGCAAGTTAAAGCAAGGTTAAATTTAACCTGCATCGATAGAAACGGGGGCAGGACGAGGGGGACAAACGGGAGCCATTATCTCTGTCCACAATAAGTGCAATTATGCTGCTCTTTTAATTGTCGCTCAGGAAACTCGAACGGCTCGTTCGACTTCGACTTGGGAAAAATTGGAACGTCCGCGTCAGACACTTTGGACCTGCGGTCCAAGGTACGAAAGTAAACGATCACGTAATAAACGAGGATCCGCCGGCCGTGCCCTAGCGCAAATATAGCCGGGTATTTCTCAAAATAACATAACTTTCGCGGTCGCCGGTGCCAGTTCGACGCTCGGCGACGCGAAGTTAGCGCTAATCGAACCCTGCCAGCCCCATCTCGAGCGCGGGTGCAAAGGTCGTACGTGCACCGGCGCGCCTCTCGGTGCATCTCGACCATTCCCGGCCCGACTTGCGATACGCAAGATACGGCTCTCCGGCACGTCAGCGGAGAGAGACGATCGGCCGATCTCTGTCTCTCTCTTTCTCTCTCTCTCTCGACGGCCGCCCTAAGGAAGCAACTCGCATCTCGGAGCCGGCACGGAACACGCGCCATTGCCATTCGGCGAACGTCTAGTCATCCCGGCCGTCGGCGACCGGAGGACCGGAGGTCGTTCGACCTGTCTGCTCCTCGGCGCGCTCAGTTCTTACTCTCGCGGCATCGGGACAGGACGTTCGGCGCGAATTCCCGCGCGGAACGCGGGCATCCCTGGCCGCGCTCCTCTTTCCCGCGGAGCGGCGGACACGTAATCACCTGTGTATTTCGAAACGAGATTCGCGTTGGCGCGGGAGCAGCGCGCGAGGGCGCCGAACAGCCTGCAGCTCGCCATGACCTCGGTCGGTTTCGATCACGTTCGCACGGGCACACACTCTCGTCCACGAATCACCACGCGGCACCGCGTGCGCGAACAACGCTCCGTTCGGTGTCACGTCGCCCTGTCGCGCCGACGTAACTTCGGCGAAACGTCACGGCACGCCGCTAGCTCCACGCTGGGTGAGGTGGGTGGTGGGGGGTGGAACGAGAGTGGGGGAACGCGCGAGACGGACTCGACCGGTAAACGAGGAATCGCGATTGATCCTGTCCTCTCGCGATTTCGATCCTGTCCAGTGCAGTTTTTTTTTATATTTTCAACAGCTCGCGATAAATTGCGCGAGACACTGAGCTAGCTGTGGCTAGAGACCCTCAAGGGAGAGTCTGGAAAACGTTCGCCATCCCAGTGAGAAATGATTCGTCGATCGATGTCGAAACGATGTCGAATCGACATCGATACCGTCAAATTGACGTCGATTCGACATCGTTTCGACATCGATCGACGAATCATTTCCCACTGGGATTATGCGTCAAATCTAAGGCCTGTTCTTTATTACTGCACTACTGCACTAGTGCAATAAGTTAAAATGAAACAAATAGATTACCTCTCATTCCAACTCATTGCACCAGCGTGCATTAAGTTCAGGAGTGCAGCAATAAAGAACAGACCTCTTGTAACTTTGATAACATATTCCCCATACAGCGCCGAAGCTTTCAGAAACATTGCAACGTTGCAACAATGTTTTCTGAAATGTTTCTGAAAGCTTCGGTGCTGTATGGGTCGCCATATAAGCCGAGAATGCCTGGAGCCGAGTATGGCGAACGCTTGTATGGCGAAATAACGTCTATGCTTGTCCGTGACGACGAAAGATCTGCTGCTGTATGTTTGTTACACGGAAAAGTAGATTTGTTATAATGAAGGAAGAGCGAAACTTTCTGTATAAGTTTTAAGTTCTCCGATCCTCGCGTCGATAATCGTTTATCGAGAGTATCGAGTGTCGATACTCTCGAGCGCGCACGTGCAAAAATGGGGTGTTCGATCCGCGCGGACTTTGAGCCGGACTTATTAATTCGCCGACGTCATTCATGTGGCTTGCGTATCAGCGCGAGCATCGAATAAACTCAGCAATTCATTTCACGCCACTGTTTGTTGCAAATAAACGTTTACTTCTTCAGCAAAAATGTCGTCACAGTGACATCACAAAGTGGCATCTCTGCGATCTTGTATGATGTCAGTGTGGTTTTTTGCTATGGGAGTAAAATTTACACCGTAACTTGTATAATTAAATTGAAAATTGTAGCGGAATTACACGTACATACATGTATAATACATGTAATTGCAATATTATACGTTGTAATTACAGTGTTTAATTAAAATCGCTTTATTTAACGAGCTCTGGCAAATAGATAAAGTATATTTTTAATATCACGCTGTATTTTTGATATAATAATTAATTTCCCAGTCAGAAATGACTCGTCGATCGACAAGTCATTTCTCGCTGGGTTGGTTGTAATAAACGAGACGATATTAAAAATAGTTAATTTTTTTTAGTTAGAGCATTAAAAAGATTTTTATTGTAATGCATATGTGTATACCGAAAGTGTAAAATCTATCTTGTAATTAATACTTTGCTTCTGCCTTTTTGCCACATTTTTATCAATAAACTTATTCGTTGTTATGCCGATTAAACCGTTATTCTCGGTCCAGCTGATTCGAGTGTTACTGCATATCTCATCGTTTCCATTATGTAAGCGCTATGAATATCATTAAGGTCGGCCTTCTGAAGATGTTTAGATAACCATGTCGTTGAGAGCCGCGAGACAAGTATGTAACGCTTTGTCATAAAATTGTGCTGAAATTGTAAGATTTACAGTTGTTTCTTGTTTACACGGGATGAAGACGAGCCGGCGAGAAGTGGCTCGTTAATCGATGTCGCAACGATGTCGAATCGTTCGACATTTTTCGAATCCCTAGCAGAAGAAATCTCTATAAATAACTAAAGGAATTGACTTGAGGTAGAAATTTGTAGAAATTTTTACATCTTCGTTGAAACGTGAATTTGTTTTTGGTAAAAATATCTACGAAATACCACAAATTACAGTGTTTTCAAATCAAGAAATATACAATTTTTCTCAATCTGGCGTTACTTTAGATTTACCGACTACCGGCAACCGTCCGTCGATATCTACAGCACCGATTTAATTACCTATAATTAACAAATGCGTGTGCGGCATTTTAGAAATTTCAAGTAAAGCGTCAGACGAAATGACACGAAGCGAGCGAATAAATCCAAAATCCGAGCGTTATAAATTCTCCTCTCTTACCTATTTGAAAATACGAATTTTTTATCACTACACAGCGCGACAAACGCGATACACGCGTCTCGTATACAAACGAACAAATAAAAAAACTCTCACTTATCAGAAGACGCGCGATCTTGAACGCCCGGCGACGTCGATAATCCACGATTATCGACAGCGTTCAAGTCACCGAGATCGCGATAGCGAGACTCGCTGTATCGAATCGCTTGTCTAAGGACAAATAGATAGGACCTCTCTCTTTCTCGCGAGATCCGATGATCGTAGTTACCTGTAGTTACCAGCGTAAACAGCGATAGCCGATAGCGATAGCTCGATCACCCATGGATCAAGCGCGCGGCGGGAGTCGCGGCCGCCCATCGCTGGTTTATCGCGCGTTTCCGATTACGGCGGGCGGCGGTCTGTCCCGCGTAAGTGCGTAATCCGCCCGTAGTATCGGAGCGCGTGGGCTCCAGCCAACGCGCGGTGAGTGAACGACGACGTCGGGTGGCTGGGCGCTGCCGCGTGACAGCAAACCTTTCGCTCCTCGCTCGGACGCGACTGGAAAAACGGCGTCCGTCCTGGCGATTCCGCTCCGCGTGTATTTACACCCGCGCGCGATCGTCCACGATTTATTTGCCGAGCTCGTCGTCGCGTCCCACGCGCGGGGATCAAATTACTCGCACCGCCCTTATGGCAGAGCCTCTCGGTTGTCGCGGTCGAGCGAGAGGAGAGAGAATCTAAGCGAGATCTGTATGGGATTGTAGAGTATTGACCGGTGCTCTTCTCTGTCGACAGGAATGTCTGAGAATACTCGTAGCAAGGAGCAGTGGCAGCTCCTCCACAGTCTTCGGTCCACTGTGGAGGGTCTGCTGATCGACGGGGTGTCCAACGTGTGGAACGTATACGGCGGCCTGAACCGGCTGCACAGCGTGATGGAGCGGATATTCAAGCACGGCTGTCGTATATTTGATCCCAATGTGAGTCGATCGATCAGTTTGTTTAACCCCGGCTTCTAGCCGAGAGGTGAACCTGGTTTGCAAAAGGTTCGTAACTCACTCGCACTTGCATACGCGCGCGTCATTCCTCGCTACGTTGACATACGTGTCCCTTTTTACTTGAAAAAGCTCTCGCGCTATGGGACTCGAATCAGCATGAGAGTCTGGGCGTGATTTGTTGTGACTCGACGCATTGCTATGATCCCAATGTGAGTCGAGTCTCGTTATCTCTGGAGCTCCCTCGTCAAGGTATCTCAGAATTATCTCGGCACAAATCTCCGAGAGACATCTCGAGGTCGTAAGAACGTCCCTTGGAGGTTTATGTTGTACGTCATGTTTTAATTGCATTTATTTGTATAAATTATTCCTGCTCGTCCGCTTCAATTATATCAGCACCGCCAATTTGAGGCACGTTTGTTTTCGAATACTCAATTTGTGTAATAAAACTGTTTGCAATAACTGCAGACACAAATTGCCTCGCGCATATTACTCGAGAAAAATCTCGCCGTGTGAGGCTCACGTTGTGGACGAATTTCTTTAAGGGTGAACCAGATTGCTGGATATTTATTCAAGGACTCAATTGGCTTCAACCATCGTTGGCGACGTCACCGGTGTTGTTGGAAAACGAGGATTACTTATGCAATTTGCCCAGTAGAATAACGTCCAAGAAGGACATGTTGTGGCTGTACAAAAGGTACTTCTCTTTCTCTTCGTTAAATATACGGCGCGCCGTTGTGCATAAATGTGATATATTTTTGAAACACGTCCGTATCTCTCGAGAAACTCTTATCACGATTGGCAGATACTAAGGGCCCTATTTTACAGTTTAGAGGGTCACTCGCTATCGCATAAGTTGTCGTGGCTTCTATCAGATAAGGAACACTTGCTTTCCTGCCTGGAACCATGGGCCTACCTTTGTCAAGAGAATATGGCAGAGGCGACGCTTTTGTATCTACGAGCAGTCGAGAGGAATCAGCCTGTGCTGCTCGCGGAGATCGATCCTTGCTTGGTAAAAGTTCTAACATTCAAATAACCGCGAAAATATCATTAGACTGTTTATTGCGACAAATATTACCACATGCCTCAGTGGCCGAATTAGTGAGATGCCCGTCTAGAGTGTAGGGAGGTTCTAACTCTGGCTGGGGTGATATTTTTTACAATAAATTTCTTCAATTAGAATTGGTCAGTTGTGCCGATTATTAATTTTCTACATGGGTTAATTGTTTACTGGCGACAATAAGTCTTTATTCTTGCCTTAACATTGTTTCCTCGTTCATACAGCTGTTTTATTTCTTTACATTAAAGTGAAGAGTTTTGGAGTTTCAAAATCCACAAATCTCATGCTCGTAAAATTTAGAAATTGACTTGATTTAAATACGGTCCGATGGATTTCAGTGAATTAAATTATGCCCTTTTCTTCATTTCCTCTTCAATTTGCAGTTTTTACCGACGTGGATATCCCCCAAGACGAGCCCCAGGCGACATCGTCGCTCGTCCTCGTATCCGGTAAATTTCTCCGGTGTCAATCATATTTTCGCGCGTGACAAGAGCCTAAGTGTTCACACCAAGTGCCAATTGGACGAGCTGAGGGTCTCGACACGGTCGATGTTGCGCGACACGGACAGCACCGAGAATCAGATGTCGAAATCTATACAAGTTATCGCTGACAATGAGGCGCAGGGGGATTCCAAGAATGACGACGTACCTCTGAAAACGTGGAACAGTCTGCCCGCTCTGGTAAAGAGCCATGGCGGCGCAGTCGCGGGAAGCTCAGTCGCAACTTCGCCGACAATCCAAGAAGTCAGCAACGGCAGCAACGGCAACAACAGCAATAACCGACCTCGTACTATTGAATTGGCGGAGATCATCAATGTCAATTACTCGGATTCGAAACAGCCCGTTGATCCCAGCATGGACAAGCTCGCGGCGAAGCCGAAGACGTCCGCGAGGAAGGTGAGAAATCGAACGAAGGCTAGACATAGTCGAAATAAAAGAGTCTCTGAGAATCTGGAAGCTTCGTCGAGCGTTCACGAGACGGCCGAGAACACGGTGGAGGAGACGCGGCCGATCGCGATCGCAGAATCGACGGAGACGAAGGTGCTGGAGCAGTGGGCGGCGCGCAAGAAGACGTCCTTCTTGGTAGGCTCGGCGCCCGAATTCACGGGTTCGTGGAGCTCCGAAGTGGAGGGCCAGAAGGACATTCGTACGCCGCGGAAAAGCTTCATGGAGGACGGCGGCAGTAGCGTGCAGCCAATGGCGACTGGTTACTTCCCGCGTCCGGCCGAGGGCCAGAGTTTAACCAGTTTCCTCTCCTCGGCGCGGTTCTCGCGCGCCCACGACGCTGAGCTGGACCGCGAGAACGCACACTTCAGCGTCTGCGAGGCGATGATCGCCGCCATCGAGCAGGTCAAGTGCAACCGGCTGCAGCGGCGTCTGCTGGACGACGCGGCCGACGACGAGAGTGACGAGGAGATCAACCGGCTGAAGCAACGAATCCGGCTGCGACGCCGGCAACGCCAGGAGGAGAAGTGCCGGGGCAGAGGCTGGAGTCGCGGCGACCTGCTGAGCGACGGCAGGACCGACACGACCACGACCACCGATCAGAGCGTCAGCCCGTTGTCCACGTCTTCGGACACCTCCTCGGACAGCGTGTCCACGGAGGACTCCGAGCTGGACGACGAGCGGAGGTTGCGGAACGGCGGTATGTCCGCGTCGACCGCGTCACTGTTCTCGGACGCGGAGTCGCGTGCGGCGAGGTTCGCCACGGACTCCAATGTGAGCGAGAGCAGCGTGTCTGCCGAGGGGGTGGCTCTGTCCCTCATCAGTCGTTTCAGCGAGAAGCAGCTGCCGCGGGCGAGCGAGCTGCAGTGGCTGGTCTCTGAGAAGGACGCACCGCAACGCTTACTGCCGATGCCGAAGAGCTGGCCGGTCAGTCCCGACGAGGTCGAAGTTGAAGACGCGCGGACTATTCCGTTGAGGGGGACAGTCGAGTGGGCTCCGCCGCGCCCGCAGATCATTTTCACGCCTCATCCACCACCGGTGTAAGTGCGAAGGGAGAAGAATAGTAGAAAGTCCTCTATTATAATATAATATTCCTCTAATTCTTGTAAATCTCTTGACGCCATTCTTTATTATCTCTTCATCGTTGTTCTTAGACGATGAGAATATTTTGTTGCATTACTATCACTTTTACATTACACCAATCCTATAAATATGAATTCTGCAAGTAATATCTTTAAAATATGTATATATAGATTCTAGTAACAATGCAATCTTTCTACATGAATCTCATTACATATACAGATACTCTTCTACAGAATTTATCCTTCCTTCTCTCTGTCGTAAACATTTATATTCCTTTCTTTCTGGCAACTCCGCAACTCGATAATGTTTCTGCTTAGCCAGTGCTTTGATTACTTTTCTTTCAGAAGACGGACGATGATAGCGAAGCAGAATTATAGGTGCGCGGGTTGTGGCATGAAGGTCGCCGTGAAATATGCCAATCGGTTTCGGTACTGCGAGTATCTGGGTCGATACTTCTGCACGGGCTGTCACACAAGCCAGGTGGCATTTATACCTGGGAAAATTCTGTCGAAATGGGATTTCAATCGGTGGGACCCCTTTAAAAGCTGTCCGGTAAAGCTAAACGGAGCGTCTCGATGTTCCCTTCACGTTTTTCAATGCTTCACAGGTATCCCGTGTCCAACTTCTCATATCGATTACTGGACCAGATGATGTCGGACCCGCTGTTTCAAGTGAACGACTTGAATCCGCTGTTGTACAGACGAATAAAGCAACTGGACAAAACGAGACTCGTGCGCACAAAGTTATTCTTTCTGAAGGATTTTTTATTCACATGTCGATTCGCGACCAGGTAAATCCTTTTTTTGGACAATATTACATTGTGAAGTAGACATGACCGCTTGATGCCATCCACTTCCGTGATGTTGCAGTCTTCAAGACGTGTTGAAGAAAGAGCCAAACTACATCATAAACGATCCACATGTGTACTCAATCCAAGACCTAATAAATGTCAAACTCGGTGTGCTGTTTGCCAGGCTGCAGGAGCTCGTTCAAATTTGTTGCACACACATTGTAGATTGCGAGGTATCTCAAACGAATAATTAAAAAATTAATTTTTATTTCCATCTTCAATTCAATCTTAAAAATTTAGTTCTGCTAACAATTATGTTAATATTAAACAATCTATTAGACCCTTTTAAGTTCTTAAATTTCACTTAAACAAGACTCTTTTAACAGCAGAATGCTATAATATTCAATAAGTTCAATAAGAACTTTTTATTCAATGTTCCATTAATTTTATTCTACATCGACAAAATTGTTCATCTCTAAATATCGAATGACTTAATTGTCATGCAGAATTATCGTGTATTCTCTTTCAGTTGTGTCAAGCTAGAGGATTCGTTTGCGAGCTGTGTTGTTCCAAGGACGTGATATTTCCGTGGGATCTTTCGAAAGTGATACGATGTGAAAAATGCGGCGCGTGCTTCCACATCGATTGCAAGCATACCTCTGACAAGCTGGAGTGCCCTCGATGCGTGAGGTTGCACGCCAGACGGATTTCGAGAGACGAGAAGCCCTGACGAATGACGAGGGCGTTGTTTGTCACGCTGTTCAGAATGGAATATGTATATTAAGTATGATGAGCCATTCAAGTTCAGAAGACATCTTATAAGATTTCTGTTGGGCAATAAAGAAATTCTAAGGAATATTTCAGCTTTACAGATGTCTTTTGAACTGTTGTATATTGTCTGAGATATTGTTACTAATATACTGTGAGATGTATTCAACGATACGTTTTCAAAAGATTGATAAGAATCTCTTGAATACGGTATTTAGACAATTCGTTAGAATACTCAAGGATTAGATCGACCAAGGCTAGCAGTTTTATTTTAGTTTAAATTTTACCACGACGTTTCGGCCAGTAATACTGGTCCTTTTCAAGTGGATCCTATTGCTTGTGACAACGAAGCATCTACAAATCAATATCTTAGTCAAAATATAAAACGGTAATAACTTGTAAAATGTAAAACTATAAAATATAAAAATATAAAGCGGTAATAAATTATAAAAAGAACTACGAATAAATCTCTTAGTCATAATATAAAACAATAATAAATTATAAAAGAAGAACTTACAGGAAAATATAAAATTAGGCTAATCGTCATCGCACATAGAAATATACACCTTCTCACGTGTCATGTCACCAAGAGACTAAATAGTTGGACCAGAACAAAGGGACATTGCTAAGATCCTCCCGTCATGACATATAGGAGGGGAACGAAGAAACAAATAAATAAAAATAAATATGAAGTTATAAATAACTAGGTGATTCGAACGATTTTATCATATATCGTGTTGAGATTTTCAGTGTCTTTCTGGAGGTTAATAGTGTTATTAAATTTCTTGATAAAAAACATCTCTGCGATTTCTCTGCGTCTATAATGTCGTTCTTTGTGTAAAAGCAATAGGATCCACTTGAAAAGGACCAGTATTACTGGCCGAAACGTCGTGGTAAAATTTAAACTAAAATAAAACTGCCAGCCCTTGGTCGATCTAATCCTTGAGTATTTTGTTTTAATTACTGGCGATACAATTCTAAATTTAATTCGTTAGAAGTTGTACAGCGAAAGTCAATTATTTCGAGCTTAATTATGACTTGTAATATATTCGACGTAGGAGACTGCGGGACTAACTGAAGACGGACATTAGACTGTAAATTAAATTGAGCAAAAACGTATACTAGAGGTAGGGACCCGTAGTAGACGTTCAGATTTTCTTTTGTCCTCTACTGTACTCACGCAATTGAAAATACTATTTGTGCCTCAGTCTCGAAAAGGGGATATTGTATGAATGAGACGTATATTATAGCGAAGACTGAAGCATATTGTGATATATATATGTTGAATTTCGATTTTCCCCCAATCTGAAAACGAACGTTTACAGGACATCTTTTAGATATCCTCTAGATACTATTCAGAGTATGATCTATGAGAATGTTAGAAGTAAATCGGATTATATATATATATTAAAAAACGTAAACACGCAATATAATTTGCCGAGCAAATTAAGAAAATATACTTGCACAATGAACTGTTATAGGAAAGTAAACTTTTTAAAAGAGTAATATATAATTTATACATATACTGTAATAAATTTTCTTCGAACTTGTTATATACATTCATATAGTTAATCCTTTTGATAGACATGGAGAAATTTTAACAATACTTATGCATGTTTTTTCGAGCATAGCGAGCATAAACGAAGAGTATTATTTCCCTAAAATTATTTTATAAGTGGCAATAAGATTCTCGAGTTGACATAGTCATTTTAAAGCTGTAGATATATTATTGATTATATAATATAATGTAAAATTATTATGTAAAAATCAAATCTAGTAATAGTGAGTACGTACCTGATTTTTACTGAATTTAAAGTTTATATTGTTTATTTATGGTAAGCGTTAAGAAACGTGCAAAATTCGAGTAAATAACACATGTCTGCAAAAATTTTTTTTGTGGTTTGAAAAAGTAGACTAGTTCTCTGTAGTGTTTCTGTTTTAGATTCAGCGCTAAAAAAGAACCTAGGAAACTAGTCTTCTTTCCAAACCGCAAAATCATGCGTAGGTACCTGTGTAATCTTAGTAAGAAAGAAATCTTTTGACGTTTTTTCCTTTCTCTGTTATATTTCACGCGACATAATTCTAATTCTGGATATAACAATTATTAACATTTATTAAAAAAGGATAGCATGTAAATAAAGAGATTCGAACGATTACGATGCAAATCACAATTTACTCTTAGAATAGATTGATTCGCAAATATCTATCTCTGCGATACGCAATGGCAGTTTCAATAATCGACTTGTTTGACTATAAGAACGGATTAATAATGAATGATTTCTTCTCTGAATATTTCCATGTAAAATAATGCACAAACTAATAAATGTTCTTATGATTTTATTAAATTACGTCTCATTTGTAATGCACACATCATTTATCTCAGCGTAATAAACATTAACTTATTGATGGTAGAAAAATATATTAATTATATATACACACTGAAGGCTAATTTAGATCAAATTTTATGATCACGCATTTTATATATATATATATTCGTCACATAAATTTACTTTTATTTTACCTTAATTAAAATATGGGTACAATATATGTATATACAGATGAAAATCTGTGATTGATTATATATGTACAGTACATGTAATTTTCTCTTATGTGTTTGTTTTTCTTTGAGGTAACCAAGAAATCTAACGAGGTCTAATACTCAGAAGGTGCGCGTGACATTATTATATTTTCGCTTAAGAGTAATTAATATAAATACCGTATATAAGTAATTACTGCATCATTATACCGGGTAGCCATAAAATTCCTTTGTCTCATTTTTGTCAAATTCACTGTGCATGTTCACTATATATTGAATATTTTTTTCTTATATTCAATAAGGAGTACAAAAGGTGTTGCACATGGAATTTGGTTATGAAAGCAGTTGAAAACATATTGATCTACCGGGGTAATTAATTATTATGTATGTATAAATATATATTCTTATTTTTTTAAGTTTTTTTTATTTTTCATACACACTAAAGGGTTTTTATATTATTTTTCTTAATGCTTTATCTTGTATTTCTTCGCACTAAAATATTTATATCGTGCTTCGTCTTGTATTCTTTTCAAATTATTCAAAATATAAATAATACTAATTATACAAGCAGATTATATGGTAAGAGTGCAAAGTGATAAGAATCTCCTTGTCATACGCGAAAATGCGACACTCCATTTTAGACGCAAAAATCGTATCCAAAATAAAATGTCCAAATTGTATTCACGTTAGAGAATTTCGTGGCCACCCTGCACGCACAGACACACACACTCACTCGTTTCGGTTTTGTGACATTATGACTGAATATCACAGATAGTTTTTCATTTCTATTGGTTTTTAGTCTGAATTGTTTTCGTTCGGAGAAAGAAAATTATGTCACCCAGCGCGATTATACAGGTTTCGAAACGGTCTACAAATTGCGAATTTTTAATTACGCTTATTGTTAGTTTTGACACGCAGCAATTTATGTGACACAACTTTTTCTCTTTTTCAAATTTTAAAGTACTTTCTTAAAGCAGTGGATTGTAGGGAGGGTATCGTCGTAATAAATGAACAATACTTGCGTAAATTTGAGATATACCTCGTGTAAACCGCATTTGGTAGCGGAAATGGCGCCGACACAAATGCCGCTCACAAATTGAGTAATTACGAGTTTACCATGAAAAGGACAGGTCTTACTTCGCTAAATGTACGAAACGGGAGTTTAAAATGTACTTAACCGAATTGCCATAATGTAGAAATAGAGTTGGATCATCAGTATATACTTATCCTCCAATTCTAAGATCAGATACAGGCATTCTGTCTTCAATTGAATTTTCACATCATCCGATTGTTTGCAACAAATATTTCATTTGTTTTAACGCACAATCGTAATAGAAACATACAAGTTCTTCATTCAACAAAATAAGTTTCCTTCAGTTTACGTAGAGTCGGGCTTCCACTGTGCTTTCTTACCGGTAATTAGTTAGTTTCTCTGTCTTCCTCCCATTTTTCAGCCTCCAATCATATTCTAATGATTAGGCCGTCAATATTGGAATGTGTGGAGGCTGCGAGAAGGGAAGACAAGAAAAGCCAAGCTTGTTTCTGACGAGGAAGAAATACGGAAGCCTAACTGTAAATACAACAATGATAACAATGCGCCACACCTCTTTACATGGCAGTATCTTCAGCGGAAGCTGTCGCGCGAACATTCGCATAATGAAGTTTGAATTATCAATTGGCGTTCGGCAGTATAATTCTAAAGTGTCTTTCGTCGCGAAAGACATCGAAAGATTATGATCAATTACGATGAGACAGGCTGAAAAGCAACGCACACGATCAACTATCCTGAGAAACGAGATAGAGATAGTATGTTATGTTTGTTCAGTTACTCTTAATAAATGTGCAAAATTTGCTCTATTCAATGATTCTTAAAGAGTACATGTCTAAACATGAGTTAAGTATATTATGTTAATTAGATCAAATATATGCAATAAATCTAGTAATTTAATCAGTGTTTAAAAGGTGTTTAATAGATATTGTTGTACGAGGCGTGGTCCATCGAACAACAAAATTTCGTAAATATGAATCCAATTGCTTTAAAATCATATACGAATTTCGCAACGAGGACTGCTACGACAGACGTGAAACATTCAAGTCAGGTTGACGGATCTGATGTCGATTTACATTTCTTCTTTCAACTTAAGAAGCATATATATATTCTCTCCCATGGAGGGCGAAGCTAAACGAACGGCGCGATATCGTTCGTCACCAAAAATATTTTCCACTAGGAAGAATTTGGTTTACAAAGGCATAGTGTTAAAAAAATAAATAAATTTTATTTTGCTCTTTCCTTTAAATTTTTGAAAATATACATCTTTTCGTTTGCAAGCTATTCGATCACACATGCATTACTTTTCAGTCTATTTCGCATATTGAAAAAAATCCGACATCAAATCTCAAGTTGAGAATTTATCTCTAAGTTATAAAAGCGTGGCGCTAAAATAAATTTTTTGATAAAAAAAAGAAAAATAATTAGTAAAATATGACTTATACAAATAGCAAAGACTGTAAAGTTATATAGAGATTATCGCGTCATATATAAATAATAATAATAATAAAGATAGTCACAATTGTTACATTCGTAAAAAATTCGGTGAAGTTTCACGACAAAACTTCTTAATATGCCTTCGAGATTTTTTACGTTCTTTTGATCTTGTTTCATACATTATTCAATTTAGAAAGCAGCTATTCGTGTCTAAACGATCATTTAACTAACGTTCAAACTGAACAGGAATTTGATTTTAATTATTTCCTTAATTCCTAATGTCGTATTAGCAAAATAATTCACCTGTACCTGTACTTATACTGACTTTGCGACTTAGAATAATGAAACTGGATATGGAATACTCTTAAAATAAGTTCTCTCGGACTTACAAATTACTTCAGTACCACAAACTGTATCTTTTTTATTTATATTTCTAAAGTGTCTTTTAAGGGCAGCTTTGCTACTTCGAAGAAAATCCTAGAATGCAAGTAAAAGTGAATAATCATTAGTTATTCAAAATGTTCCTGTATATGCATAAAAAAAAATTAATACATACTTGTGGCTGTACTTGTTGTGGACATTCTTTAATGTTTCTTTATGTTTCTTATGCAAAGCCTGGTTCAAAAGAATGCAAATATCTCTTATGTCGTCAAGCTTATAACCACTATAGTATTCTAGTGTTAAATTCCATCCTCCCAGGTCCTTCATTATCAATGCTAGTAGTAATGCCGCCGCTGCCATTTTACTATCGCTGAACCTGATCATCGTGTAATCCATCAGTGAATGTTCCAGTATGTACCGAGCCAGAGTTAACGTGGGCATAGACACCTTGGCACACTATTTTCAGACAGTAATTTAGTTAGTGCACACTTGTATAGATTCCATTCGAATAATAGATGTTCTATTGGAGAATAAAGCAAGAAATTAAAATATCTCTTTCTCTCTCTCTCTCTCTCTCTCTCTAATCTACAACAGACGAATGTAATTAATCTGCCACAGTTTGATATGATTTGAAAATATGTATGCTTTCTACAGTAAATTTTGTATTTAATTGAATATATACTACAATATATACATATACATATAAAAGTTATATATTAAAAGAGGAAAATATTTTGCTCAGAGTTCAAGTATAGGAATCCAACATGGACCTTTCACTTGCTGACTACTACAGCAAAGCTATTCAAGCCTTATGCATTATCCTTATAATGATATTTCCTATTCAAAAAATATATTAATTTCAAATCTGATTTGGAATAGTAAAAGAAACTTCTTCTTTTGAAAGAAAATTATTTCGTAGAAGAAATAATGTAAATCACGAAATTATTTAAATCCTAGAACAGAACTTGTGAGATATGAATTATGCAGAGGCATACCCTGGCATAACGCCGAAGAAATCTGTACGATAGAGGTATACCCAGGTCAAAATTGACTATTTTCAAAACATTCATTTCCATTTTGATCAGCTCCTTTTGTGTGTAAGCGCCGTCACATATGTACAAAAAGTCTTCCACCATTGGCGGTATTCTTTCCTAAGGACAAAGGATATATTTAGTTATTCGGCTCAGTTAACGAGCATAATTTTATGAAATAAAATTTTCTATGGTAGACACGTAATTATAAAACTTACGTCAAATTTACTCGCTATGAAAAGACTCGCAGCCCCAAGCAGTTGTAGAGTCTCTCTCACAACTGTCATTTTTGTCAGGTATAGATCGACCAGTTTCACAGCCAGATACAGGGTCTCGTGATTCAATTCAAATGACTCTTGCACCTCGACCATCCAATCGACAAGTAGTGCTCTCATCCATTGCGATAGGCATATTTGTCGACTCATGTAATCGCCGACGGGAAACAGGCGTTCTCGTTCCTTCAGGTACTCGAAGATGTCCATCGCGTAGTGCGATACCTGGTACGGATCCTGCCAATTCTCAACATCGAAGTCCCATTCGACACCTTCGGGTAATTTTCTTACGGGTATAGCAATTAACAAACTGGCGGCCGAAACTTTTTTATGCTCATTCGTAGGGGTTGGTTCTCTCTTTTCATCTTTCTCCGCTGGTTTTTCTATTTTTTCATTTCTCTTCTCTTCGTCAACCTGTATACATTTTATCTATTAATGCTGCAGAAATAGACTAAAGTAAAATAGAATACCGTAAATAACATAATATTTATGGTATAAATTTATTAAACTTGTGGAAAAACTTTACTTTTAAAGATTATATAATTCGTTTAAAAAACAAATTTTGGCCTCAGAGTTTTTTTTGTCTAGAAGTTTTCTCAAATACAATTTAAGAAAAATGTGAATTCCACGATGTTATGCGTAATAATACGTATCGCAGAAAATGTTATTTACCTTAAAAATATTGTTGCTTTTGCGAGTCCTTTTCACGCTATCTGTAATATCTTCTAAAGCACTGACGTACAAACTATCCTCCGACTTCTCGAAATCCTCACTCAGTCTACTATTTACAATTTTGTTAACAATTTTCGTCTTATCGTCCTTCTTGACAACAGGCTTAGGACGAAGCACTGGTTTTGCTTTCGTCGCGGCAGCTTTTGTCACAGCAACGTCTGCAGGTTTCTCCGAGGCGACGTTACTTTCAACTGGTTTGATTTGAGTAACTATCTTTTTCACCGGATGATTCTGCCCCACCAGTGATGTAGTGATGGCCTATCAAATTCATGAAATTAATATAACAAAAAAAATATGTGTAATACAATACATGTACAGATACATACGTACACCGGACATTATTAATGTTAACGTCACAACGCTGTGATTTAGCTAAATTAAAGTAGCGGCCTGAAATTCTCGTGTCGACACTCACTGTCCTTCTCTTGCAACTCACATTTTGATAACGAGCTACCGGATACGTAACTAAAATGCGTGACAATGTGTCTCAAGAATGTCAGTGTCGTTAACCGACAGAATGCATCCTATCGCGTTAAAACATTTCTTTTTATCTCCGACCCAATCGTATCGCTACGGAAACGAGGCATGTCTTAGTTACACGCTTGTTATCAAGATGCGAGCAGCAAGGAGGGAAGAGTGGACGCTGACACGAAAATCGCACTGAAAGTTGCACTTAAATGCGACCATTGAATTAAAGTGCGTTTAAATTTCGACATAATGACTGCAGCGTATACACGTACATTGGTGATGTTAGCAAACGCGTGTCTCTTGTGCGTTTTCTCCTTAGGTGGCGAAACCTCCGCTTTTCGCTTGGCGCGAGTCTCTCTGCTACCATTGGGCTTTAATACGTTAGGCAGCAAAGAATTTTGACTTCTGGTCGTTATTCCTTTCCTCAAACTTGTAGTGCTTTGCAAATGTTGTCCAAGCAGTACCTTCGGGGGCGCCATTTTTCGGATACGATGGAACTTCGATGCTTCCTTATCTAATTGCTATCAATCACAAATGTACATACAATTAGTTTACATGTTAATTGTAGTTTAGTTTACAGTATATGAGATATAGTACAGTGCGGTGCATCAATTAGCTTCGGGTCGCATTGTCAAACAGCGTCTATGTTTAAGCAGTCAAGTAATCTTTGTCCATCCCTAATTATTACCCAAACTCCGAATTGCATCATACTGTACAATACGCTTCAGAAGTAAACAGTCGAATTGTAGGAACATTAACACTTGGTGGTAGCAAAGTTTTTTCTCAAACAAATCTATTTGGTCAATTTTGACTCGGTCACTTTAAGCCATTTTTCAATGAGCTGGTGATTAAAAACTAATTATGTTTACTGGAAAAATTTAATAAACCTTAAACGAAGAAAATATTTTTGTCAGAAAAAATTAATATTTGAAAGAGCATCACGTTGAAAACAAATCTAAAAAGTTTTGAAAAAATGGTTTTATGCCAAAGTCACAGTCTGAATCGCTTTGTCCCAGTTTGGCAACCAAGTGTTAATTGTTTCAGAGCAATTTTAACTAAAACCACGCTTAAATATTGGCTAAAATGTAAAAAAAACAAAGGGCATTTGATCGATCGACAGGCGGCTTCTTCGTGCGTTCTAAGTGAAGTAAAATCTAAATTATCAACTAGTCCGATCTGTGCTTTCAAATAACAAACTGAAATCACTATTAAACACAATAAGAGGTATACAAGAAGATTACGAGAACATCTCACTCTCGAAATACTTTTTTCACTCAGAGCACGCAGGCCAACGTGCGCGATTCTCGTTCCATGCGCAGAACTTGGTCGCGCGAGCCAAAACGCGCGTGTCGCGGCCTCGCGGTGCCGAGAGGACACGTCGGGCACGTCGCCGAGAAGAAGTAGAGTCAACCGCCTACCGTCGACATGGGGGATTCACGGGAATTCGACTCCCCGCGGACCTCTCGTAAACGGCGCCGCCGGGGCAGAAAACGCGGGAACCTCTGGCCTGGATCTCTGACGAGCTCCGCCGCGCGTTGCGAAGACCGCGGTTGTCCGTTCGGTCGCGAGAGATCGTTATCCACCGCTATCACCTTCGACGGCCTCGGTAAACGACTGCGGGCGATCCCGCGACCGAGGAGCCGTGCCGAATCGGCCGCGCGACGGCACGAAGGTCGCGAGGAAAATATTTATTCGAAATGTATACGCGCGGGGGGGTGGGGGGGTGGGGTAAAAGCACGGTGGAGCCACCGCGGTGGCGGCGGGTGATGCCGAGTCAACGGTCGCACGTACCGGAAACATGCGCGTATTGTGTACATACCTACGTGACTCCGAGGTCCTCGCGTACACGTGAACGGCGTGAACGGCTCGGGGGGTCGCTCGTTCGCAGGATCCACGCATGCCACGCGCGCGCCCGTTCGCTGTGTATATACCGCGAACGTTTTCGTTGACGCGCGCCTCGCCCGCGTCCACCAGGACCGGCGATGGTGATCAGGGCCTCGATGTGCGGAGTGTGCGGCTTGTCGTGTCCTGTAGGTTCAAAAACTTAGAGAACGGCCGAGCGGGACGCGGCGATTGGCTGGCGTCCAGCGCCCCCACCGGGCACGCTCGCGCCACCTCGCGGTAGACGCCGATACCTCGCGTCGAATCCGCAGTCGGTACGGTCAACCACGTGGCTCTTGGAAAAAGAAAACGATCGGGATTTCCTTTCCTATAAAGTGCGTTCTAAAAAGTCTTCTCTCACGGTGGCTTATGCCCATTCTACACCTAGGGATGATCCTACTTGTGGCTCATCCGATACTCGCTTCTATACCTAAAGCTAACCCTACTTACAGCTTATCCGAGGGAGTAGTATAAAGTGTAAAAGGTTTACACTTTGGTTGGTTTCCAATCGTACCAAAGTACAACTACAGTGTACCTTTTACACTTTATACTACTTCCTCGGATAAGCTGTAAGTAGGATTAGCTTTAGGTATAGAAGCGAGTATCGGATGAGCCACAAGTAGGATCATCCCTAGGTGTAGAATGGGCATTAGCTTTAGTTTAGCAGATGTGTGTAGTTCAATAAAAAATAATAGAAAGTTGTGCTCTTTATCTTAGTTTACAAATCTTTTTTCAACGTGGCTTAGCTTTGTTTTAGCAGACGCGTAGTTTAATAAAGAATGAACGCAGAATTTGTGCTCTTTACCTGAAAAAAGACCTAATATTTTTGCGAATTTCTTTTACCTACTGTCGGTATTTTTCCAATTTTTCTTTTAGACAGCGAGCATCCATCTAGTCTATTTCTTTTCTTAAAAAACGCAGTTTTGTACCAGTCGCGGTCTCATTATAAAATTCTTATGCATGGCCGAGTTCATTTCTCAAGAAAAACTTGTTTATATTTCTTAATCTAAATTGCAATTTTAAACAAACGTCGCGTATGGACGCTTTATTCTGCGCGCGGCGATTTGGCAAATGTACTCTGCGCAAAGTGTCAATTGTCGAAAGCGCGGTAGCTCCGCTAAAGTAGCTCCCGTTCTCAGTCGCGGTACAGAAATTATAGTAGCCGTCTGGTTCAAAGTTCATCGGGTTTACTTCGCGGAGCGGCACGCCGTCAGACCGCACGTCTCGTTTGTCTCACGGCTGCGCGCCTGCGTTCACACCGAGATGCAACGCGAGCGACTCGTCGTCAAGTACGTCTCGGCGAACAACTGCTTCGCACATCTGTCGGCTGCCTGGCTGCGCCGTTTGGAAACTGAGGTTAGTTCTCTCGTTTTGCATAATATACTCGAGACCGTGACGACTCGTCGGAGAAACAAGCGTCACGTGACCGAACCAGAGCTCGCTGCGGACGTTGCGGGCCGCCAGTTACGCGACTGAATGACGGGAAACACCGGCGAGAAGTCGCGACGGGAAAAGCGCCCTCTGAGGACGGTACAATGTACCCGACAGTCGGTAATAACGACTCGATGGTCGATAAAAGCGCGATCTTGAGAAAATGGTAAAGATAATAATTTCAGTTTGTGCATACCCTAGTAGCACAGTGCATTGCCCAAGCATTGGTCAAACATTGGCCCAATATTTGATTGTTTTGGGCCAATGTTTAGTCAATGCACTGTGCTATCTGGATACGGACTTTTTGCCGCCTAGATTTCTAATAAACATAATAAATTACAATTGCTCCAGCTAGTGATATAATCATAAGATTAATGATAAAGCGGGGAGCACACACTTTTGCATAAGTGCATAAGCATACGCAT